ATTACAGTCCAGGAGTGTGGGTGCCCTCCTTTTCTCTGCCCTTTACCCACCTATCCAATGGTCTGGACAAAGCAGCCATAATAGTATCTCCAGACAAGCTCCTCTCTTCCTTTTTCCTATTTCCTGCTGGTGCCCAGGCACAGCCACCAGAGTCTTTCACAGCACATCCCACGGGCACCCCAGCAGTTGTGTTTGCTCTGTAGAAAAATGTCTCTGTGTTGTGGGCTTTATTCTCTCAGCTATGCTATCCATGCTGCCAGATGATACCACAAGCTAGTAGGAGCCTGTCCTTCTAGAGGGGACATCCACAAGTGCTTATCAGCTGCCCCCTTCTTTGCCTCTTATGGAAAAATAACTCTGAGTTGAGGGGTGAAATCTTCTCCTACCAGATGCACTCATAAAACTTCTGTTGCCTCAGAAGGAGGGGAGAGAAAATAAGTGTATCTGTAGCCTGGAATAATCCTTAATAATTTTTGCCACCTTTGTGCACAGAAATGGGATTTCTGAGGGCAATTGCACTTTTCTTGTTCTGCATGGCCAGTACATTGCTCATGGCCCCTCATTGAGGACCAAGAGAAAGGGATAAGGCCAGAGCTCTGATCATTTTGGAGAAGGGATTGTTTCCCTGAGCCATTTCACCTCTGCAGTTTGGGTTCAGATCCCAGCAGTCACAAGGGTTCCTGTGGATTGTTGCAGGTGCTGGCCCAGTGAGTGTTGTAGCTGTGGATCCCCCTGGGAGCAGGCAGGAAGGAGAGTGGGAGCAAGGAGAGTTCTCACATGGTTATCAAGTAAGGAGGACATTCCTTCCCTCACCTATTGCTAAGCCTTTCTCATTACAGATGCCTTGAAAACAGAGGTGAACAGGAATGGGAGTACTCCTGAAATCTTAGGAAAGCTTTTAAAATTTTGGTAGAAAATTTCAATTGCAAAAAAGCCCTGATTATTTTGCCTATAATTTACCAGAGTGCAATGTGCACCAAGTGACTTTTATTTTTGGTTTCTCAGCTGAAAGCTACTTATTGTGCATGAGTTTCTCACCAGTAAAGGCTTCCATGCCTTTCCTGCTGCCAGTGTGTGCTCTGAGGTGAAGCAGCATGATAAAAGTTCAAGAATCACCAGTTTCTTGATCAGTTGATCATGGCCAAAATGTCCTTACTCAGCTCAGGAGAGGGAAGGAGCTGAACAGAGTAATGCAGACAGCCTTCCTTAGTCCTTTTTCCATAGATGAGTGTAGTTTACATGAACTGGTTGAAAACAGCTCTGAATTTGATCTTATGACTTGCTCTTTTAAACTGTTGTTCATCTTTCTGACTTCATTTTGTGTTCCCATACCCTGCCTGAGCAAGTTTACAAACAACCCTGGGGATCAGAAAGGCCAGGCTTTAAGGCAGTGTTAGATTTATGGTAGGTGAAGGAATGAAATCCTCTCACATTCTTGTTCATCAGAGCTGAAATCTCCTCCCATACATGGAGCAGTTTGTGCACAGAGCCTGTTGTCTGCTAGGAATCAATCAGCCCATGGAGCCAGAAGCAGCACAAAGTGCTTAAGCTTTTTATTTTTTTTTTAATCATTAAAATTACAGTGTGAAAATTTGCTATGTTTTTACAGAGTACCATAAATTCCAGTTATGTTCTTTTCTAACACACCCAGGAGTGCCACAGTGCTGCAGCACCACAGAGCAAACAGCAACCAGGCTTTTCTGTTACCTCCAGATGTCCTTGAAGCTGCTGGCTCATGTTGGAGATGTAATATTCTCCATTCTGCTCATTTGTGTTTCCAACCTGTCACAGTCAGCAGCATGTTCCTGAAGGAGCATCCACTGAGGGACTGGTTTCAGTGATTTGTTGTGGTTTTATTTCAGCTACTACCAGGATTTTCTATCAGTGAGATAAAACATGAATCTATTGAAGCTTATGACTATGCAGTGCTGGAGCAGAAGGCAAGGACTGTCACCAGGGTAAAGGTTTGAACAGAGCACCTCGGAGCAAGTTATTTCACGCTGTGTCCTTGAGCGAGGACACAACACCTGGGGGAGAGAAGAAAAAAAGTGGGGGTGGATCTCCCATGCGGTGAGTTCATTGCAGCAGAGGTCGGTCCGTGAGGATGAGGAGCAGTGCGGCAGGGGAGCAGCCGGCGCTGCAGGCGGGGCTGCCAGGGACACCTGCCGGCCGCGGGCAGCAGCACCGGAGCGGCCACCGGCGGGACACGGGGCTCCGCAGCCGGGGGCAGGAGGAGGAGGAAGGAGGAAGGAAGGAAGGAAGGAGAGCAGGCAGATCAAAGTGCACGGGCACTGCAATGGCACCTTTTATTCCTAGACAGGTAAAGATTAGTGTTGCACACAGCGGTAATAACACAGACCTGAGGAGGGAGAGAGTTGTGATGCAGTGGTGGGAAAGGAGGTTTCCAGAAACAATCTCTGAGTGAGGTGTAGTAGTCATAAAAATGCTGATGAATTTACTTTTGCTGAGTTTTTAAAACAACATCTTGTGTCACTGTTTCCCTGTCAGTTGATGAGGAATCTTAGCACTTACGTGGCATATTGTGCTTTTTCACTACTTGCTCCTTTGGCAGTGGGAAGTATGTTATCAACAGGGAAGGGGGAATCTAGAGAAATTGTTACTAGAAATAAAGCTCAGGGATTGTGTATCCCAACACCTTGCTGCTTCTGATGGATTATACTGCCCGTGTGTTATGGAGCAGATTGGGCCCTTTCAGTTTGAACTGTGCTCTGGAGGATGGGATCTGACATGTTCAGAGCTGGTACTGACATGACAGCTGACCTCACAAGGCAGCTGCTGTTCTCTGCCAATATTTAGTCTCACAAGATGGTGGGTAGGACTTTCACACATCCTTCAGTGAGTAAAGAGCTCAAAGTCTGTTCACAAAGATTCAAGCTCAGCCCAATTGCTTTGGAACACCCATCCATTGGCTTTGCCCCAAGTGGAACTGGAGAATGGGGACATGGCAGTTCAGCACCAGCCACCTCTGGGGGCAAGCTGGGACCAGAGAGCCCAGGCCAGCACCTCTGAATATTGCTGCTCCCCTGCTCCTCTTACAGTGGTGGCTGCTCTGCAGTGCTTTGTGTGGTAGAACTCAAAGATTCCTTCTCTGATCACTGATGCCAAGAGCTGGTTATAAAGGAGTGCAGTGTATTTTGCAGTTCCATATTAAAGAATCACACCTAAGACAGAAACCAAGCTTACTTAAAGGCACATGTATTTTAATGTCACTATTAATCATTGGCTTTTAATTGGAAAAAGCTTTCTAATATGCCAGTAGGAGTACAGAAAATTTATGTTTCAGGGTATTTACAGCACAAAGCACAAAATATTCCCTATGATTCAAGTAGCTAAAGTACCTTATTTTCAGCGAGCTTGATAGACACGTTGTCACTGACTCTCTCCTGACTCCCACAGTGTCTGTTCAGTTTGCAAATAAAGTCAGATTTATGCAGCTTTTCCTTTGCTTACACTACTAATGCTAACAACACATCCAAGTGTTAAACACAAAGCACTAAACTACATAATTTTCTGCCTTAAAATACTGAACAAATGGTACTTTCCCTGTGAAGGGCTAGTAAAGCAAAATGATATTTGCAAGGTAAGATGCTATTGTATGTTTCCAAATATTTTTGTATTGTGTACATTCTGTATATTTTTGTTGTGATGATATTATTTGAGCGCAGAATCCATTAAATTTTTTTGTGGTTTTCTTTATTTTCTGTTTAATTTCTCTTTTTTTTTTTTTTAATAAAATTGAGTTGTTCTATATCACAAACTAAAAAAAACAACCAAGAAAGAACTTTCAAGGACAATTTTGTAAGTTTCTCTACAGTTAACATAGTTTTCAACAAAAGAGCCCTTGGTTTGGAGCTCTGCCATGTAATCTTCTAATAATGACATTGGTAACTCATTTTTATGTCTGTCTAACAGATAAAGGGGAGAGTGAACTGCAGCTTCATTTCTCCACAAGATCTAATGAGGATGCAGAACTGGCTTGGGACTTGTATGGAAATTCAGGTGTTGTCCCACCTTTTGGCAGCTGTCCCTTCACTGCCGTGACCTCAGAACTGCAGGGAAGTTGATGACATTTGAGTAATTTTTTTACTTGTTTTTTACATTTGAGTAATTTTTTTTACTGGGGAGGAGAGTTGTGCTCTTTTAACATCGGGCTCTACTGAGTCTTTTCAAATCTGAGAGCCAACTCGTATCTTGAATCAAAAGTGGAAACAACATCTCCAGAAAAAAGTAAACCCCCAGCAAAAGTAAACCCCCAACCAACCAAAATAAAAATCCTTCTACCAGTGTGGAAGGCAGAGGCTTATTTTGAAAAGTAAGTTGTGTTTTTGTTGGGAAATACTGGGTTAAAGTGTAATCTATAGGAATGAAGATGTATGTAGGAGCAATTCCTGTCAGATGTGCTACTCCAAAAGGAGGCAGATCCCTGCTACCATGTGTGGGACTCAGCTCGTGCTGTCAGTTCTCTGCACTGAACTGAACTTTCTGAGACACTCAAATCACTCTATTCATTAGCTGAGGACTTTCAGCATGAAGGTAAGGTGGGTTTTATCAGCTTTTGTCAATTAATACAAAAAGTGTTTCAGCCTACTAGCACCATACATTTTCTTGCTACCTATTCTTCACATCCAACTTACTTTTTTAAGCACTGAGCTCTTTCTTGTGCCCTGATCAGCAAAAAAACTGAACAACCAGCGCTCCAACATTTTTAGAACGTACAGGAGCAGCAAAAGGTGACATGTTTTATTGAGTGCTGCTGCTGCTGTACTTACTCATGAAGGAAAACACTTGTTTCTTCTCAGAGCTCCTGCAAATGACTGAATGAGGGGTTTGTTTTCTTTCACACTACTTTTCCTCTCCAATACATTATATGCCACTATGGCTGTTAATGTCACACTTGCAGCTCCTCTGCATTGAGGGATAAATGGTTTTCAGCAGGAGACATCAAGGACCACACTCACTGACAATTTACAGGCGCACTGTTGAGGATTTCAACGTGTTTTATTGTCAGCCTTATTATAGGTTCAACATGTGGTGTCACAGGAAAGCAGCAACTCCTGCCCTCACAGAACAGAGCACCAGAACAAGTCACACTGAACAACATTAGTTACAGGCACTGTTTCAGGGGAGTTCAAACACCCTCTGCTGCAAAGGGAACCAACAGGGAATTCTGCTTGTATCAGGTTTGCAGATATTGCTCTCTTAATGAGCTTACTCAGAGACTTCATGAGTTTTTATTCCAGCTGTAGCCAAACATTTCCTTCAAGTATTCTGCTGCCTATGTGTCCCATGATGTGGGTAAGAATCCATTGCTGATACATTGAAATGTTTTAAAGTCTGAGTAATTAATTTGGGAAGTTCATTTATTTCAAATTCTGAAAAAGTCTTAATATTAAATGTTAAAGAAGAAACTTTTTAGTTTCTTCATGACTGGAAAACATAGCATTATTTACAGTTATGCAAAACTGTAATATAAGAACATACAAAGAAGGTCTTGATCACATCTCAGACTAAGGAAGAAGAGGATACATCAAATAGCCTGGGAATTTCAGGTACCTGTTGTGTGTGTGTATGCACACATACAGGCACATACAAACTGATACATCAAATAGCCTGGGAATTTCAGGTACCTGTTGTGTGTGTGTATGCACACATACAGGCACATACAAACTGATCACTGCAATGGCTCAGTCTTCAGGCAGCTCTGTTTCATACAACTACCAACTTGTTTATCCAGTGGCAGCAGAACAAACCAGCAGTTTGAAAGCAGAAACCAGACACAGACTTGGTACCTAGGTTCTCTTATCTAAACTAAAATGATTATTCATTATCTAGATCTAGGTAGATGTTTGTACTTCTTTATAAAAACAAAGCAGCCAGATCTAAATTATTTTAAAGATATTTAAAATATTTAGAACAGTGACATGCTTGCCACTTAAGGGATTTGGGTTTGGTTTTGCAATGACTATAAAAATCAAATGTCATGATTTCCTCAGAAGAGGAGCAAGTCAGTTGGAGAATCTGAAAACTCTGCAGGAGTTTGTATTATCTGATATTTACATATTAAAAAAAGCTCATAGTGCTTTGTCTAAAACCAAGAAAAGGCAGGTGAAACTGCAGCTAAGGTTTGACTTGAGCAATACTTTTAAATATAAATTAAAAATCCAGCAATAGCTGCACTGCACAGAAGAAATTAATGATTTATACATAAGATAATTTTAAGCCACTGATGTTTCTCTCATGAATTCCTCCAGGACGGTCACTACGTTCCTGGCCTCTGGCATTTCTGCATGTTCTACTTTCACAATCTTCAGCAGGATGTCTCCACTGCCACAGTTCTTTAGGAACAGGTAGCACTTGAACAAGGCGTAGTGGTTCATTTCAGCCTGGCGGATAAACCTCTTCAGGTTGTTAATGTCCTGGATAGCCTGGGCAAAGAGTAACAGAGCATTTGCTTATCCTCCTACATGGAATGAAAACACACTCTTGTGGAAAATAAAGGATAAACAGCAGGAGAAGCAAAAGCATTTCCAACAGAAATTTTGTGTTACTACTTAAGAGTAATGTAAGAGTTGAATATTGTCTTGGATGCATATTATAGCTGGAACTGTAATGATGCAAAATGTGTGGACACAACGTGAGGTGTCCAACTTGTAGCATGAATTCTATTATGGCAGCTCACCTAAGAATTGTTAGCTACTGAACCCCTATTACCAGTTACATGAGACTGTGTGTGCAAGTCTCAGATTAACAGTATTTGAAGAAAACAACAGCGACAATGAAGGTGGGTCTTACTTTAAATTTGAAAAAACACCTTTGGAGCATTCACTGAAGAAACTCTGACACTACTTTACAGCTGTTCTTGTCAACTACAGTAAGCCAGCCCTCAAATTAAGCTTCAGAGTTAGTCAGTTAACAGACATATAGACATCATAATAACCTAAAACTTTTATTCAGTGCAAAATAATATTTTGCATGTAGTATTTGCTCCCACAGTAACCCAAATATCTTCTTTAAGTCCTTAACATATATGAACAGGTACCTTCAATTTAAAGTTTTCCAAAATCTGCCGGAAGAGAAATGGATTTCCACCTTCAGCACCATTCACAAAAGCTTGCATCCAGTCCTCACAGAATCTGTTGCTTCCTGTTAAATGTGCAACAGAGAAGAGATGAGAAGAAGTAAATGAGCTCCAGATAAATATACAGCTGCATTCACCTGGTTTAATCACTCTCACATAACAAGTGATAGCAATATACCTGGGCCAGGAAATAAGTGTTAAGGAAAACCAGTACATGTGGAAAAGAAAAGCAAACACAGCTACAGTGATTGCACAAGACTGTGTTCTGATTCGTGAATTCCTTTTCCCAACATCTGTCAAAACCACAACAGGAAAAAAGTTCTGCAGATTCCCTGAATTACAAGTGTGACTTGTAAAGTCACACTGAAGTACAAATCATACTTTCATGGTCCACAAACTAAATGTACTGTGGATTTTACTACCAAGCATTTTCAACCCAGAATTCCAGTGTGTAAACTACTCTCACAGGAAAACAGGGTACCTCATAGGAAAACAGAACCTAAAGGTTCTGGGCCTGTGATCTGAATATCCTCAGCTGCCTCTAATATCACAGCTCTCAGCAGCTGATGGATCCAAGGGAGCAACAGGAAGTGTTCCCTGCTGTAATCTCACCTGCATTATGCAGCTGGGGCTGAGGTCCACTACAGTCTATAACCATGGACTTGTGCTGTTCCTCTGTCATGGCAATGCACAGGGAGGTCATTGTGCCTTCCTGGACAAGTCCTTGGAGGCTGGCAGCTGCCAGGAACCTGACACAGAAAGCTCTTGTCAACTGCTTGCTCCTTTATAGCTCCTGCACACTGAGGGGATGGTCAGACACAATAGCCAAGTTACTCAAAGGTTCCTTGGGCTCTAAGTATCTTTACCTGCTGATGTCCTTTTCTGTTCTTTCATCTGCATTTTTGACTTCTACAGGAGTGTAACTCAGAGCCTTAAACAAAAAAAAGAAACAAAAAAAAAAAAAAAAAGGAAAAAGCTGGATGCAACTTCAGTATTACTTTTGTAGCTATATTGCAATTATGAGCAATTAATACATAATGTGGTACTTTAAAAACTGTTCTTGTCAAGGCAGTACTCTGTATTATTGCCATTACAGCTGGTTCTGCACTTAGAAGAAATTCAGCAGTTATACTCTGTTAGCTATTCCATCCAGAACCTCCTCAAACTCAGGGACTAGAGCTAGGATTACTCTCTTTTCTGTTTCCAGTGAATTACACAAGACACATACACAATAAACCATCCCTTTTCATTCAGACAATTATGGCATGGACAAACTGCTCATGCTATTTCTGATTTTCTTACTCTAATTTCAGTGTGGACAGCATTAAGTAATTTTTTTTTAAGTGACAGAAGGAATTGTTATGTGCTTCTTTAGCAATAAGCAGGGGAAAAGTGCTTGCTCTGAATTTAAAAAACAAACAAAAAAAACCCCAAAAAACCCAACAAAAAGAACAAAAAATTAGGGTTTTTAATTTCCTCCTGCTGGGAAAGCAAATTAAAGAAATATTTCAAACATTTGGAGTCACTGAGATGTCTTCTGAGGGTTTTTTAGCTTTTTTTAGTGAGCCAGTTTCAAACACACTCACAGCATGTAGCAGAGAGGCAAGTTTGTCCTGGAAGAGCTGCACAACCCTCTGGATAGGACAGATGGCATCCTCAAACCAGCTCCTCAGGTAGGGGCTAACACAGGCCTCCAAGTTTTTTTGCTGTAACACATTGAAACATTAAAACTTTAACTAAAAATCAGATTTCTACATCAAGAGAAGACTATTAATAATCTACTCAATCTCAGATAATTGGATGTTGGAACCTTCTTAATCTCAAACCACAGTGAACTAAAATAATGAGTTTGAGATTTAAAGCCTCACTTTATCAGCAATGAAAGGCTCTGCATTTTAAGAAACAGCCAGAACTGTACTATTATGGTATACATTGAGTGAAAACCATGCAACAGCAGATGGGATGACAAAAAAGACTTAAAATGCAGAACTTCCACTAGAAAATTGTGACAAGAAACCCACAAACGTCCTTTCTTAACATTCAGAACTGGTAAGAACTGAGGTGGACATTGATAAGTTCCTTATAGACCATCACCTTTTATTGGTTACTCTTCTCTCCAAATTTAACTGTAAGTGACCTTTAGAAGATTTATGACTGACACAAAAAGATCCCCCCTTTCTTTTTGTCTTTTGACTTGTGTGGCTGATAGCACCGTAGACATTCATTGTACTACAGTGAGCCAAGTATCTCTCCCTGTGTTTCATACTGGGACTTGAAACACCTATTTTGTCTCTATAGATTAGATCTTCCAGATGGTTTTAGCAATTAACCTGAATAAATACTCATTTTCACCACTTTTAAAAAAAAAGTTAGGCTTTACCTCCAAATCAAGATTCATCTTCAGATTTTGAATGTATTTGTCCAGCTCAAGTCTGAAAGTATCTTCTTAAGGAAAATAAGATGCATCAGTTAAGACCTGTATTTTTTCCTTTCAGTATTTGGCTGTTAGTGACTTCTGCAGTTACTGAAAGGTGTGCACAAACGAGTGATTTCAAGTAGGAACAGACAACATGACAAGATAATTTATACATCGTGCCCCTCTCCATACAGGTAAAGAAAATTCAAGGTAAGGATATAGTTCCAGACCTTTCTCTGAGCCACCTAAGAAACAAACCACATATTCTGGAGCATTGATGTCCGATTCCAACGTTGCCATTTCCAGAAGACTTTCTTGTTGGAAACGACAGTAGTAACACCCAACTTTACCTTCTGGTATGCTATGGGAAAAGGAAAAAAAAATTACTTTCTTCCACATACATCACAATAAATGAGTGCAAAAAGCAGACATACATTATTTCTGAGGTAATTTTAACAGGTAGCACTGTTGGCTCCTATGGCAGTGGTAGGTGAAGCCATAGGTGCAGCTCTTAGACCTTCTCTTTTTTCTTCTGTGTGATAAGAGTTGTTTAAAAGGAAATAATCATAAACATCTGAAGTATTTTTAAAGTATTCAAACAGTAAATTATTTAAAACAGTATTTTTCTCAAAGTTACTTAAAAAAGGAAACTGCCATTGTGTAAGTCTATTATTAACAGCAACAACAGACTGGGAACATGGAATCAGGATTAAACCTAAGTGCAGCAGCAGGCAGGCAAGATGTGCCAATGTTCCTTACAGCTCTCATTTTCCAATAATTTCAAAATTTTACCTCAGCGCCACTGATGCTACATTCCCCATTCCTTCAAAGAGCGCTCCTTTAGTAAGGCGCTTAGAGATGAAACTGCGCAACTCCGTCTCTGCTTCGGCTGGCAAGTTGGTGTCCAGCAAGGAGAGGCTTTAAAAACCAGAAGAAATCGTTACCAAAAGGCAAATGTTTAGTGTCTCTCAGGATGTGCAGAACCTGCCTCTAGCAGGGGCTCCCTGTGATCTCTCTCTGGTATCAGCTAAGGCAGCTCTGTGACTTTTGGTCCAACGTGAGCAGTCAGTGGTTTGCCCACTGACCAGGAGTCTGGAGATGTGGTGTCAGCTCATGCTGACCTTCCCAGCAGCTACAGACAAGACACTGCCCTCTTTGTTCCTACATTTCCCCAACTGTAATACAGAGTTTATGGAAAGATGTCCTTTGAAAATTAATATATTCTTGTTGTATGTTACCTACATGAAAAACTAAGTCAATACAGCAATATCAAGTACTAGTAGCAAAAAAAAAAAAAAAAGGAAAAAAAAAAGAAAAAAAGAAGAGTTCAAACTCAAAGATGATAGCTTCTGTTTCATACATTACTTGAGCTCTATATGTGTGTCCATTCCCCAGGTGTTCCAAAAGAAGTGCCATGGGGACTCTAAAATGCTTTCACAGGGAGGTTGTGTTTTGAAAGGAGTGCAGACGACCTACCAGTGATCTGACAGCAATACGGCAAAGACTTAAAGACTTCAAATCGGGGTATTCCCGTGATTGTGCCGCTCTGCAGCTCGGCTTTACCTGAAGTCCTCGGTGGAGGGTGCGTGTGCCACGGCGCCACCGGCACTGCCATCCCCGGCGGCGGCTCCCTGCTGCGCGGACCTGGAACCCGAGGGATTCCCGGAGTGAGTTTACAGCCGTGACACGCAACAGGGAACAGCGGCTGCAGCAGAGAAAAGGCACGGCCCGAGGGCGAATAAAAGCAGGAGTAGGGAATCCGTGCATTGTGGGAGGGAAAGAATCTCACCGGGGAGAAAGAGAGGGGGGAAAAAAAAATAAAGGGAATTCAGGGAGCTGGGAATGGCGAAGGCCTGGGCACGGCCTCCCCGCGGGGGAACCCGGCGCCTCACCTGCGGTAGCCATAGAGGCCATGGTAGGTGCAGCCGTGCCGCTCCGGCCGCCGCTCCTCGCCCGCGCCGCCGCCCTCCTCGCTGCTCTCCAGCTCCCGCTCATCGCCGTCCGGCAGCGCCGGCAGCATCGCGGCCCCGGCACCGGCCCCGCCTGTGCCGCGGGGAGCCACCGGGCCCCGCTGCCGCCCCGCCCCGCCCGGCCCCGCCGGCTGTGCCGTGAACCCGCCCCGGGGCCCGGAGCTGGGAGGAGCCTTCGGAGCGCACGGGCCGTGTCCTCACCCCACCGAGGGCGGTACCGAGCCGTGCTGAAACCGCTCCGGCTGCCGCAGCTCCTCTGTGTAATGCACAGAAAAATGCAATACAGTCGCCGCAGTGCCTCTGTCAATACAAGTAATCCTTCAAAACCGGTCACTGACTTAACGGCAGGATCTACTCAAATCACATTTAGAATTATAGAATGGTTTGGATTGGAAGGGGATTTGGTAGGATCAGCCATGCTGTCTGCTTTTAAAAAGTTCTGCTTCTGAAATACTTTGTCTGTGTTAAAACAGCACGTTTGTTAACTCGGCCTTGTGGCTACCGGGTAGTTACAGAATCACAATCGCAGAATCGTTGGGGTTGGAAGGGACCTCTGGAGATCATCCAGTCCAACTCCTCTGCCAAGGTAGAGTCACCTGGAGCAGGTGACACGGGAACACATCCAGTTGGGTTTGGAATGTCGCCAGAGACGGAGACTCCACAATCTCCTTTTGCAGACAAGCCCTGCAGGGAGCAGCTGTGACCCCCATCTGCACAGGGCCACTGTCAAGGGCTGGACGTGGCTGATGGCTGGACTTGATGATCTTATAGGTCTTTTCCAACCTCAATGATTCAGTGATTCTCTTCTAAGCACCTGGTAAACATGTAAGAGAGCTGGAGAGCCATGGGGGTAACACAGACACGCACCCTGATGGATTCTCACTGTAACAGAGGGACCATCCCCCGTGCAGGTACATGTAACTCATAGCTCAACACATTTAAGTCGGCTTTATTGTGTTCTCACATCCAGCAACACAGGCACAGCCGGCACCAGAACACTGCACAGAGCAGCCAGATTCCTGCCCAGTAACATTTAATGGGGAAAACACAGTTTCTCTGTGACATGAAACACGAAGACGAGCAACAGTTTAGATTAGGAGGAAACTCGTTGCTCTGAGAGCGCTGAGGCCCTCGAACAGGCTGTCCAGAGAAGCTGTGGCTGCCCCATCTCTGGAAGTGTTCAAGGTCAGGTTGGACAGGGCCTCGAGCAACCTGGTCTAGTGGAAGGTGTCTCTACCCATGACAGAGGGGTGGAACGAGATGGGCTTTAAGGCCCCTCCCAGCCCAAACCACTCCGTGACTGTTCTCGTGACACGCTCAGGTGCCGCAGGCAGAGCACTTACAGCCCCGGCTGGGCAAAATGGCGGCGGCGCCGTGAGGCGTCACGGGACAGCCCGGTGGGGGCGACCGCGAGCGCGTCACGTGGGCACCGCCCGCCCTGCTGGCGCGGGGCGTTCTGGGAGTTCGGAGGCCGCAGCGGCGCCTGAGGAAGCTCGGCCGCCATTTTGTGCCTCTCGCTCGGTCCGGGGCGGCCGCGCGGGCGCTGCGACTCTGAGGGAGCGCTCGGCTCTCCTGCTTTGTAGGTCGGGGTGACGCCACCATGGGCCGTAAGAAGAAGAAGCAGCTGAAGCCTTGGTGCTGGTATCCTTCTGTGTGGGACGCGGCGGATGCAGAGAGCTGGGTGGGGGAGGGTAGCGGCGCGGCCTGGTGCGGTCGGGGCTCGGTCCCGTTCCGTCTCGTACCGAGATGGGGCTCAGCCCTTCTCCGCACGCTCCTTACGGTTTGTCTCGGTGCTTGGCCCTGTTCCAGCCCTGTGTCTTCGGGATGGGGCCCAGTCCGTGCCCTTCCTGTGCTCCCCACCCCCCTCACGGCCTCCGGCCCGCTCCTGTCGCTCTCGCCGAGGCCGCGGCCTCCCGCCCGATCCTTAAAGCCGGGGCAGCGGGAAATAGAGAATTGTCTTTATCCCTTGCGAGGGAGGATGTTAAAGGGAGAAAACCCTGCTACTGATAAATACATTTATTCACGGAATAAGGTGGGATGTGGTTAAAAGAGACTTTTTAAACCTTTTTTTTCTTCGTGACGGGGGTAGCTTTCAATTTATAATTGCTGCATCATGATCAGGTTTAATTTTGCAGTATCCAGAAATACTGGTGAATTTTTATATGATCGCTCCTTCAGAATGTACTACTCACTGTTGTGGAGTGATTATAAATCTACCTTCTCTCTTACGTTTCTGTCCTCTAGAATTGTTTAATAAAGAAATCTAAAAGGTGCTCCGAGGTGTTTTACCATTTTGTCTTGGGAGGCATCTGTGATTGTTTTAGACATTATTTCACGTTTTGGTGGAAGCAAGGAACACGCTGTGTTGGCAATGTTAACATGTTCCTAATAATAAATAGCTAATGTGTATTTTTCTCACCTAGGGAAATGTGTGGAGTGTTTGCTGAAATATCAATGCTGAAATATCAATGCTGACCCACAGAAAGGAAATGCAGTTTGTCTCTTGTTTTATGTAGATGTCCAAACAGTTCTTTGCCGAAAATATTTCTTTTTAAAAGCAAAGAATTCTTCAGTTACTGCAGCAAATTATGCTGTGTCATAAAAATTGATACCTGGATAACTGGAAGAGGAAGGGAATTTTAAACTAAAACCTTTGTTCTCTTTTATGATTGTTAATTACTGGTAATTGATTAAAGAGGCATTTCTGAGTGATTTGCGTAATTTCCCTTTTGATTTCAAGCCTGTTTCTCCTTTAATGCTGTAGCAGCATCCACACCCCTGAAGAGAAAAATAGGTAGGACTCAGATGATGATTCTGATTGTCTGCAGACACCTTCCCACTTCTCTACCTGTGTAAAGAGGGGTGTGCTGGACTGGATGAGGATGTTTGTTTTCAGACATCCATTAAATATTTGTCACCCTTTGAATGCTCAGAGATGCTTCTTGTGCCTTTCTTTTGCTTCAGAAAAATCACACTGATGCTCATTATCTTAGTCCTATCTAAAAGGTCACTTCCAGTATGAAATGTTTCCTTAACAGTCTTCAATAGGTATTGTAATAGGGATTTTGATGATGAAAAAATCCTTATACAGCATCAAAAAGCAAAGCACTTTAAATGCCATATATGTCATAAGAAACTGTATACAGGACCTGGTTTAGCTATACACTGCATGCAGGTAAGAAGTTTTAGATTTACATGAGCTTTTCTTTACAGTATCTAAAATATAAGTTAAGTGTCCTTAAGAAGGGAGGTTGGGGGCTTCCAGAGTCTGTAAAACTGGTGAGAAAAGGACAGCAATGGCCTCTTTGCAGCACAGGAGTCCTGCTGTGTCAGCAGTCAAATGGCCGCTGTGCAGCAGAGATCTTTCTCAGGAGTGTTTTGTAGGAGTGAAGGAATTGTGCTGTCTCAGTTTTTCTAAGTTCATGTAAGCTGGTTTTAGGGGTAATAGTTGTTACCAGAGATTAGGAGGCACAGATCAAGAAAATGCTTGGCCAGAGAGATTAGTCCCGTTAGGGATGTTCCTTTTCTGTCTTCAAACTGCCTGAAGAACACAGAGAATTTACCCTGAAATGTGGTCAGCAGGATTTATTTAGTTTTTTTTTTTTTTTTCTTTAGGTACATAAAGAAACAATAGATGCTGTTCCAAATGCTATTCCTGGCAGAACAGACATTGAACTGGAAATCTATGGAATGGAAGGCATTCCAGAAAAAGACATGGAGGAACGGAGGAGGTTACTTGAACAAAAAACTCAGGGTAAGGTGGAATGTGGCTGGTTGTCTGTCATTTCCCTGGTGTGTTCCTTACTCAGCTGTGGCACTCAGTGAGGGTGGGATTTAATTCCTTCTCTGACAGCAGCTCCAGGCATTTGCCAGCCACGTGGGAGGGATTTTTCCTTTCCTGTTCAGAGCAGCTCCAACAATTGCCTAACGAATATGGACATGGTCATTTATTTGTGAGGGTAAAGGGGAGGAAAGGCTGGAGGTAAAACTGTCCTGATGATTCCCAAATGCTTCAATTTCTTTGCTGTTCAGGCCTTTGGTTGAACTGCTTTGGTTTATGCAGGACAGCATGATATTGATACAAGGGCAGATCCCTCTCTTATGTTCAGGGTAATGGCAGTGTGAGTCATGCTCCTTCCCTTTATTTGTGGCTGCAGGTGGGCTCCCACAGCATTCTTTCTTTGTATTTCTGTGACTTTTTGAACACTGGCAAGGTTTGAATTTTGCTGTTAGTTAATTTTATGGAACATAATTTGTGTTCAGTTTGACCATATGCATTGTACTGTCTGCAGAGAGCCAGAAAAAGAAACAACAGGATGATTCTGATGAGTATGAAGATGATGAATCTGCAGCTTCAACTTCATTTCAACCCCAGCAAGTTCAGCCACAGCAGGGGTACATTCCCCCAATGGCACAGCCAGGTTTGCCTCCTGTGCCAGGTGCACCAGGGATGCCTCCAGGTGAGTGGCTGTGTTATGTTAGGTCATTGCTGAAAACCTCTCAGAAACATGAATTGCTGCTTGTATGCTTGAGTACTAATCTGCCCTTTTATCACTGGGGTCACAGAATAGTTCTGGGAGGTGCAGATAAGTAGTTTGTTCATTTTCTTCCTTGCTCTGTGCATGAGCACATCTTCCTTGGTGGACTAGATTCAGATCCCTAAAGCTGGCATGTAGATTGAAGGATCTGGTAGTAGGACAGGTTAGTGCTTCAAACAGGAGTCTACCAGTGATACTTGTTCATACTTTATAACCAGGTTTTGGAAATAGGGCAGAGCTGCTGGGCATCTGGAGATTTCTAACACAGAACAGGCCACAGATACAGTGAGGAAAGAGTTTTGATCAGTGAGTGAAGAATGGTCTCTTGTAATAAGATGTCTTCTCTGGAGACACTAAGGAAATTCCCAATCTTGCAGGGCTGAGGACAATCAATCAAAGTCAAATTTGCAGATAGTACCTATATTGCACTGTTTGTAAGCAATATTACTTCAAAATCCAATTTTTTAGAACTTGCTGTAAAGCATTTATCCAGTGTAAACTTATTAGATGACATTTGTTTGCAACTGTATGTTATCAGAGTTGTTGAAAATTTATTTTTCTTTTAAGGTATACCCCCATTAATGGCAGGTGTTCCACCTATGATGCCTGGAATGCCTCCAGTTATGCCTGGAATGCCACCTGGGTGAGTAGCAAGAAAGACTTAATATTACATGTTCATACTGTGCATTTTAAACTGTCACAGAAAAAGTAAAGCTAATTAAAAGAATGTACAATAGGGAATTGTGAACTCTGTAACTTAAATATTTAAGACTAACCAAAAAACTGGATGGCTGTAAACCAACATGTAAAATGTGGCCAAACTGGGTTTATGTATAAAGTATCTTGCCTTTCTCCTGACTTAATAGTTATTAAGTAGTAATATATTAATACAAAATTTTGTTGTGTTGGTTTAGAGCCTTCTGTGAGCCATTATTCCCTTGTGTATTGCACATATGTTGTGCATCTGGTTATCAGTCATCAACATAACAGGAAAAAAGTACTGGATAGTTTATATTTTTCTTGTATTTTGGGCAAAAGATGTTGGTTTTTATGCTTGTTATGGGGTTGACACCATACCCTATCACAATGTGTTTGGAAATTCACAGTTAGATTTTTGATTTTGTCATAAATTTTCACAGATTACATCAACAGAGAAAATACATGCAGTCATTTTGTGGTGGAAACATGTAAGCATCTCATTAATGTAATTCTAGGTACATTCATTATGCCATTTTATGTCATGTTTTTGATAAGCTAGAAATTGTTTTACTGAAAACCTTTGAATATTGCCTAAGAATTTGGGGAAGGTGTCTAGTTAGGTTTTGTTACTGTATAATACATGAAGGTTTTATGTTTTTATCTAAATGAATATTACAAAACTGTATGTGAAATGCATTCTACAAAATATAAACCAAACAGACCCTTAGAGACTTAAAGCCTCTCCTGAGCCAGAGCTTGAGCAGCTCCATGTGCTTGATCCCTCACACTGCAGGACATTCTGCAGGAACTCAGTTTAATCTAAACTTCAAGTTAACTGAGGTGAAAGCTCGTTGACTTCTGAGACATAAATATTGATTTAACAGCCTTTGAATTGAAAAATCATGCCATAGTCAAACATGGCGTGGATGCTGATCAGAAATTTAGCTTTTCTGGGTGGAAACTCAACAGAATTTAATCAGGTTGTCAGACACTTAGTTGTCATTAAATTCCCTGTTAACTTCAGGTGAATGTTATGTCACCTGTAAAAACACAAATGAATTTGCCAAAATTTCACTGCATTTCATTTTGGGGGAGAGGACGAAGTTGCATTATGCTTTTGTCTATTCTAATCTAAAATTTTGCTTTCTTAACCTGATTAAATTTTGTTTAACAATGACCAAAGAATTAGGAGAGACAAAGCAACTTTGGTGTTAGTGTGACAGCAGTTGTAGCACTATCTGCAGTTTCTCAGAAGTCATTCTGGAGCAGCAGGCAGTGAGCATCCAGCACTTGTTTTGATGTCTGCTGGCTGGCAAGACTGACCTTGCCTTCTCCATGGGTCTGTGTTCCCAGTCACTGCTGCTTCTGCAGTGGTTTTTCCCTGTGTAGCAGTGATAGATGAGTTGAGAGCAGAAATCAGACTTGCCAGAAAGAATGCTCACTTATTCATGGCATTTGATCTGAAAACAGCAGTGGTGAAGGTGTCTTAACTGTCATACAAACAGAAGCTGCTTCTTAGTGGGGTTTTGGTTTGTACTGGAGTGCTGCAGATCAGCTTATCTTGCTCACTAAAGTAATAAACATTCTTTTATTTTGTTTCCCTAATCCGTTTTTAAATGTCTGCAAAAAATTAAGCAAAATTAAGCTACACTTGTTTGTTCCCTGTAAAGGGCTCATACATATTCATTTAGGAAAAGAAACCAAATGGTTTCTTTTTAATGTGGAGAAAAAATATGTTACAATGAGGATGTCTCATATTAAAAAACCAAAATCCCACTTTATCATTAGTGTATGGATTGTTTTCTGTAACTGAAATTCTGGGAACTTTCTTGTCCTGTGATCTCTGCTCTGCCTTTGTCAATGTTTTTTGGATAGTTCTACAGCTCTGGGTTATTTGCCAGTCAGTGTCAGAGAGGAGTAATAGCAGATACACAGTGATTGTAGTGTGATTGGAGCTAGCTGGTTTTCCTGCATTCAGACTCCATGAATGTACTGAGATCAGGCTCTTGGAACACTCAGCTGCAGCTCATAGTCTTGACAGAGATTTCAAGAGACACTAGTTCTGGAAATCTCGCATTAGAGAAAGTGAGATCTTGAGAAATTAAAGTTCAAATAAGTGTTTGGGGTTTTGGGTGCTGGGTTATGTTTTATTCTTGTGGAGCTGGTTTGGAATTCCCTCTCTTGAGACTTCTTGAAATTTTTACCATTATTTTTTGTCTAATACAGGGATGTGCCAATTGTCTTAAAACTTTATCATGTGTGTTCATACCAGTGCTCATTTTCTTTTCAATAGGATGATGCCAATGGGTGGAATGATGCCTCCTGGGCCAGGAATCCCACCTCTTATGCCTGGTATGCCACCAGGTAGGTCAGGGTTGTCGAACTCGTACTATGGTGAGAGTTTAATTATATTTATTTCTTTCTATTAAGATTTAGAATTTATGTAATGAACATACAGACTTATGCCACCACCCACCACCTTCATGTGGTTGGACTGTCACAGAAGCCACTCTGTGCAGAGGTGCTTGATTTATGGCTTTTGATTATAAATAATTATTTTACTTTTATACTATTGTTAAAGTAAAAAACAGAATACTGTTTCTTTGATTTATTGCATTTACTCACACTGTTGTGTTGCTTGGTCTCTCTTCATCCCTTTTTTTTTAAATTAATGTTTGTGGCTGCAGTTGGAAAACAGTAATGACTGAAAATGTGGGAAGTGGGGAATAGTTGGGTGATTCACCCAGCTAATGAGCCTGCAGTGTGAAGAAACTTAACTGACATTTTGGTCTCTTACCATAGCTAGAAGAGATGTTTGTTGAGCTTGTGCAGCTCTTAAGTAGCCCTAAGTTCCCTGGGTGTTCCCTCTGAGCAGCAACTGGAACACCTGATGGAACCCCTGGGAGCTGTTAACTTCCCACTGACCCTCTCCTAGAGCTCCACACACACCAAGTGCAGGTGTTGTGGTGACACTGTAACGTGTCCCAGTCCACTTTACTGATGACCCCAGTAAAGCTGGCAGTGGTTCAGTCAATTCAGTCAATTCATACCTGCAGTGTGTCAGAAACAGTTACTGCATGAATTGTATTGGTTTGTCGAGAGCACAAACTTGATTATTGCAGCTTTAGTAAAAATCAACTTAATCCAGCATTGTTCTGAAGTGTTAGAGGTTACTCCCTGTGCATGGCCATTGACTGTTGACTGCTGGCATTACCCTTTGTCATGTTTTATTTTACTGTTGCCTTAAAAATACATCTTGTAGTGGGAAACTTTGTTCTAAGGAACACTGGGAGCGGGATTGTCTAAAGGAATATTGGTGCTTCCTGGAGCCTGATCCGCCGCCCATTGTTTGTGGTTTGCAGGGATGCCCCCTCCTGTCGGGCCTCGGCCTGGCATGCCTCCAATGACACAAGCACAGCCTGTTACAGCCCCGGGCATTCTGAACCGGCCTCCAGCTCCTGCTGCAACAGCACCAACTCCACAGCCTCCAGTTACTAAACCACTCTTTCCAAGCGCGGGGCAGGTAAGGTATCCCAGAGCCTGGAATGCCTTGTTATATTCCTCAAATTGCTACTGTGTCAGTAGTGCCTATTTATTATTGAGGAGGCCCAAGAAATGACTGGTTCAGGTTTTTGCTTGGGTTGATGTTTAATTCAGTGTAGTGCTTGAATGAATTTTAAAATATTCTTTTGTTTGTCTTAAAACAGCTGTGAAACCAGACAGAAGTTCTGTAAGCACTGGGGAAGAAAGGAGTAGGCAAAACACTCTTAAAGGCCTTTAAGTTTGTTGTTGTTAAGGGAACTTTGGGTGGGTGAAGAGATGTGTTAGCTACAGGAATCTGATTGCATAGAACTCTACCTTTCCAAGTTAAAAATCTTGACATGACTTGTTCTCACTCATAATGGGCTCTCTACTGATAAATGGATGAATTTATTCTGTAGTCTTGTTAAACTGGTTAAACGTTGCCTGAGTTAGGAGGTTTTTCTAATTCAAAAAGTTTTGGAGTAAGTCAGTGTAGTGAAAAGTTAATTTTAATGTTTTGTGGGGGGAAGTGGGGAATTGATAGTGGCTTGTGACCTCTTCCCTTTGAATGCACTTTTTCCTGGGTCCTGGAGTTCTTACTTGCTTTCAAGTATGTTGCAGAGGCCTTTGTAATGTACTGTTTGCATTTTGGGCTTCTGCGGGGACGATACATGGTTACAAAAATACAGTCCTTTCATAAGAAAGGGCTTAGTATAAGAAATCCTTTCATCTGGATACTTTCCACCCATTTGTTTGGAGACTTTTCACTGTTTCCTTTCTTTTATGCTACAGATGGGGACACCTGTCACAAGCTCAAGTGCAGCTTCCTCCAATTCAGAAAGTCTCTCAGCATCTTCTAACGCTCTGTTTCCTAGCACAGCACAAGTACGCAGGAAGTCACAGTTTAAAACAAATTGCTTTGCACCTTAACCCTTTGGACCATTCTGTAAAATCTAAAATTGACTAAACATCTTCAGATAATTTTTGTTATATTCCTGATTATGTTTAGCTGGTAAAACTGCAGAGTCCTTGATGATGAGTTGCATCTTACCAGAAATAAGCATGTCAAAGTGCCCAATTTTTCTTAGTGTGAAAGAATGAAATGTAACATCCTGGTTCTAAAGGGTTAAAAGAGCATGAAAGCAGTTAAATGCATTTTAGTGGGCAGTGGTTAGCTTGATGCATGGTGAAGGCTTTTTAGTTTATGTTGTTTAATATGTTACATCATAATGTAGGGGATTTTAAATTTGCGTTATGTGCAAAATGTTAATTTTTTTTTTTTTTGATTGAGAGGTTCAGATAGTTGTAAATATCCAGTGACTAGAAACAAAATCATTCTCTCATAACTAGAGTTTGCTTTGGAGATTGCTGTGTCTTCAGACAGCAATCTGAAAGACAGCTTTGCAAAACAGACTTCTACAGGGTTTTTGTAACAAAAGAGTAGGAGAGATGAAATGTTGGAATCTCTAGTGGACCTCATACCTGCTTCCATTGATTCTTCATTCAGAAATAAGATTAAAGTTCTGTGGATAGACATGGTACTTTGTGAAAATACTATGTTGTGTTTATAGAGAGAACGCTTAAAGCCCTGACACAATAGAGCTTTATAAAATATTTGATTAAAATATTTCTTAAATACCTAATTTTAATGAATACTAGCACTTTGAGCTGTACTCTAAACTAATGGTTGCTGAAATATGTTAATTTAGTGAAAGACTAATAAATCTATGTTTAGAGGCTCCTAAAAATAGTGATTCAGGAAAGATTTACATATTTGCCAAATTCGGGGTTTGAGATAAAATAGTAGGCTGTTTTTTTCTTTGTTGTTCCTTTGTTGTGGTGGCTTTTGACCTGCAGATTTTAGACTTTCCTGTGTGTATGTGTATATGTGTATATACTGGGGTTTATTTTGTCTTGGTTTCAGTTGCTCTAGTATGCAATAAGGCTGAACTTTACTTTTGTCAAGCTTGTATAATCATATCTCACTGGAACGTTTCAGAGGTCTAACAGTCATCATTTAAGTTTTCTTAAATGAAAACTTTATTTGAGAAATAAATACTGACCTGTGTGTGTGTTTCACAGGCTGCAGCAGCTGTGCCAGGGCCAGTTGGTACTGATTTCAAACCTTTGAATTCTACACCTGCGACAACAACGGAACCCCCCAAACCAACATTCCCGGCTTACACACAGTCTACAGCCTCAACCACTAGCACGACAAACAGCACTGCAGCTAAACCAGCTACTTCTATCACAAGTAAGCCTGCTACCCTCACAACAACCAGTGCAACCAGTAAGTTGATCCATCCAGATGAGGATATATCACTGGTAAGTAACATGTTTTCATTGTCTTACTGAAAAATGCAATTTGTGATGATATGACAGGTTGAATGGAATTTCATCTGTGCTCTGCATTATGTGTGTTTTAGTAATGGTGAGAGTGCAAACCATGCAGAAAAAATGTAACTTGAGTTATGACTGGCATATTGGCAGTGATCTTGCTGCAGTCTAAGCCTTAGCTTTGGTGGTGGTGGGAAATCTCTCAATCCAAAATACAATTTGGACTTTTACTGCATTTGGACTTTTGTGTAAAACAAAAGACTGAACACTTTGAAGTTGTTTTGATGCTATTACAGCAGTTAGAAATATGGAATTTATGGATAAAACAAATGAACATTAATTACAGTTCAGAGATCTTTAGATTTGTGTTTTTAAGAGAAAAAGGCTTTATTCAGCTGGGGGAAAGGGAGGATTTGAGTTCCATGCAGAATACTCGAATTGGTCTGTATTAAGGAAGAAAGTCTGCAGAAAGGGGGGCAAATCCTACTGCTGCTGGGTAATGTTACTGGTAGTCTTTGAATCTGTAAGGTAGTTAAAATAGTTTAGTAATCTACTTTGTTGCACCTCTATTTACTTTGCTTTTGGTGAGTTTTAACACGATGTGTTGTGATTGTCTCTTCTGCTTTTAGGAAGAGAGAAGGGCACAGTTGCCTAAATACCAGCGCAATCTTCCTCGACCAGGCCAGGCTGCCCTGGGTAATCCACCGGTTGGACCAATTGGAGGTATGATGCCACCACAGCCAGGAATTCCTCCACAACAGCAAGGAATGAGACCTCCCATGCCACCTCATGGTAATCATACGTTTCCCAGCTTCCTATTTTTGGAAAGATTCGTGAAGTTGCCTAAGCTAGCAGGGAGGGGTGAAGCTTTTCACAAAATACACTTCTCACTATTTAAAAAAAAATTTAAAAATTATTCTTTGCATCTTAACTATTCTGTTTATAGGTCAGTATGGTGCTCATCACCAGGGCATGCCAGGATATCTTCCTGGAGCAATGCCTCCATACGGTCAGGGACCTCCGATGGTGCCCCCGTACCAGAGTGGACCTCCTCGCCCTCCGATGGGAATGAGACCGCCCGTAATGTCGCAAGGTGGCCGCTACTGATGCTCCTACTCACGCTCTAATAGGTTTGGAGATTAAACCTTTTCTCATCTTGTGCTGTTAATATAGCCAAGCTTCCGTCAATTAAGGCTTCATTGTGACTCTTATAAAAATAAGTATCTTCCCACATGCAAGGAGCTGTTGGACATTTTATTTTACATGGGAAAAATTATTTGGAATAATAACAGGAACTTTTCCTGATGTTGCAATTTATACTGTATGGCTTCTTTTTCATGTTTCATCTAGGTTTTTAGAAGTGAAGTATAGTAAATATGGTTCGTTAAATTGTGAAGGCGCTGGAATTACATGAACATACCACCTTAAAGGCAAGTTCTGTAATGTTACGTTGCTATTTGTGAAATGATGCCTTCACAGCACTTCAAGTGCTGTTGGACTTCGTGTCCCCAACATAGTTTGGTGAGGGCTGTAACTGTTCCCAACTACTTGTACATTAAAGTCTGAACTTGTAACAATATTTAATGTATTTAGAGTTCCTCCTGTTCCAGGGTTTAAGTAAACTGACCCACTAAGGTCATGTGACTTTTCTGTACTGTTATAAACTTCATTGTAATAAAAGAGGAGAAAAATTTATATGCCTTTTTATTCATGACCAGCTGTGGACAACTGCCTGAAAGGTTTGTACAGATGCATGCCGTGGTAGCCATTGGTGTAATGAACACAGTTATTGGTGCTGTTTTGATAAAGTCTGAATTCCTTGTTCTAAAAAGTCACTCCTTAGCTGTACGTCTGAGTAGACAAAGACCTGTACACTTATTAACTGACTCCTCAAAATTGAGGCTGCAGGAGGCACATCCTAACTCTTGGTTGTAATTTCTCTTAATGCATATGTTTCTTTATTTGTGCTTTCTTGTCCTCAATAAATTTTAAATGATTTCTAGTCCTTGCACTTGCTTGTAGGATGTGAAAGTGCTCTGAGATACATCCTAGTGCCAGGATGTGTCCCATTTGTTCACTTTGCAAATGATACTTTTTAATGTGCAAGTGGAGATGAATTTTAGGATCCTTTAGGTGAAGATTTCTAGAAGCTTAGGTGCATGGCACATGGGTGAGTGACTTCCAGTTAATGTATTGAAGTTGACCTGCAAAAGAGAAATAGTAGCTTAACCCTCTTAATGCACAGAAGAGGCAAAGCAGGCAAGAGTAATGTGTTATATGCTGTGTTTTTACTTTAAATGTTGAGAATTTCATGTTTTTGCAGTCTCTGAAAGGTGAACCATCTGTAACCATCTGTTGTGTGCTATGATCAGATGTTGTCTAAGTTTTCTTGAGCCATTCAGTGAAAGTTTCTGGAGTAAGAGACCTTTTTATCAAAGAGACATCTTCCCTCTATGAATTAGTCATTTCTCTGTTTATAAGAGTAGAGTGACAAGTTCCTCTTAAGGTTGTAATTAAGTCTGACATCAAGTGTTCCTTTGTTACACCTCTGATGAGGATGTAGAGGGAGACTTTTTGGAGGGGAGGGAAGTGAGAGCCTCTCTGGCTTCTTCTCAACAGGGAAAAAAGAGTGGTGAATTTTTCATTTGCAGGTCAACTTTAAATACATGTTCCAGCCTCAAGCCTTATCTGCAGTTTAATTAATGGGGATATCTCTTCTTTAGGGTGGGGTAGAAGGATCATTAGCATTTTTGTGTCATTATATTCATAGACGTTTTTGTAGATGGTGGAAGTCTTTCACTTAATTTTCTTACTGAGCATTATGGCTCTGTTTCTTGGAAGTCTTGAGGTTTTGTAGCTGCACTAAAGCACTTCATGTGGCTCTATTCTGTACTGTCTCTTAAAAGTACAAAAATAACAGTACAGCCAAAATACTACATTGTCTCAGCTTCTAAACTGTGGTCACAGAATGTCTCCAAAGCACTAGAGAGAGCATCCAGTGCAGTCTGGTTGCAGCTGAACGACCTTAGTTTAACCATTAAGAATTGCCAGGCACCTTTTTCTGAAGTGTTCAGGTTTAAGACCATAAGTCCAAGCCTCTGTTGAGAAGCAGTTCTCTCTGATCACTGCTATCTACTGATCACCTGTCAGATGTGCAGTATTTGGCTTGCAAATGTTCTGAGTGGGCCTTGATGTCAATTCTTTTGTTAGCTCTTCATCTTGCTTTAGACATAAGTCTAACAGATAAAACTTGTTTTGCTGAGGCAGCGCTTTTATACTCTGGTTTTCTTCTGTATACCTGATTAGAATACTTACAAAATACTGAAGAGATTATTATGATGTCTTATATTTGTACTTTTTATAGTATTACACATCAAATTTGTACATTATAAAGTGATCTTAACTACTGCTTGTAAAACTATAAAACTTCTTGCCTTTTTCTGAAGATCATACTGCTGCTCTAAGGATGCTTTGCCCTTCTGCCCCAGTCAAGTAATTTCCTTCTCTCTTTGGTGTCTTTCTGTAATTTTCCATATGTTGTTTCCAGACCCCTACTTTTCCTGGGATAAAGCCTTATTGCATGCACTGTTAACTTGGCATATTCTGCAAGTTGTTAAGTTTCACTCTTTTAAACAGTGAATGTCTCATTCTGATAATGGTACCATTTTGTAGCTAATACTGCATAGACTTCAGCTTGAATGCATTTTAAGAATAATCTTTCCTTAGTAGTGATGTTATGAAAACCCCTTGAGTAGGTACTTCCACGTGTATTTCATTGGTACTTGCATACAAGCAGGTGAACAATTTTTCTGTGATTTTCACGTGGATACTTCATTTCCTGCTCCTGTCATTCCTGTGCAATAAGAGCTGTGATGTGGCTGCCTTCAGTCTTCAGTTACTTTTTGTCTCTTGTGTGATTCTTCTGTAAACAGGCAGATGTTTCAGTGCCTGTGTTGTCTGTTGGTCCCTGCCTTCATTTCTTTGGATACTGCTTCTTAATGTTCAGAGAGTTGGATTTATGGTGCATTTACCTAAAACCAGTAAAACTACTTTGAACGTAATAGTTGCTTGTATAAAGACAAAGACTTGGTTTACAGTACCAAGTGTAATCAACATAGCTCTGCCAGCAAAATCCCTGATGTAATGCAGCCATGGAAATAGGCTTTTGCTTTAGTTAATCCTTTCTTGGAAGGAGATTGCAGAAGCCTTTATGATTACAGAAAAGCATATCTTGTGGAGCTGTTGCAGGACCCTAGTGATGTAATTACATAGGCAGAAGCTTTGTTTTTCAGTTGTTGCCTAAATCTGCCACGGCAGATCTTGCATTAAAATTCACACTTGCAAGTGCATTTTGACCAGCCTTGAAATTGCAATATAATGCAAATGTTGAATACAAAGGATTAGGCTACAAGAAAATTTCAGACACAGGTGGGAAAATAGGTTTAACAGAAAGCATGCCAGAATTTATTACATCTAGGATTCTGTAGAAGGTTCTCAATTATTTTATGCATGGTCTCAATATTATAATAAGCAGCTGATCTTTAGGGCAAAATGGATGAGACTGGCATGAAAGAACCTTGAGAAAACCTGGGTTAGATTTTTAGAAGTCTTTGTATAACTCTTCCATACAACCATTAGAATAGACTTCTGCCATTGGCAAAGTTGCTTTAAATAAAATACTACTTAGCTGGCATATGTAGGCTGAAAATTTCTTCTGAAACCTTTGGATTACTTTTTTTTTTCCCCACAGATGATACTTTAGGTGCTGATAATAAATTTGAGGCTGGGCTGTTTATCTAATAACAGTGGATGACCATTCCTCGCTCTGTGCATGCATGGGACAATGTAAACAAGCTTCTAGAAACACATTCAGCTGCATCTGCCTTCTGTGGTTTCTGCCAGGATTTTAGTCTGTGGAGCTCTTGAGCAGTACTGACACAGAACTGGTTAACTTACTGTCTTAAAACCTGGATGAAATTGAATGGCATAGATAACCTGCAGTTACTTTATAGGAATCAAATAATTTGGAGATAAAATGAAAACAAAAATACCAAGATGACTTCAGTTTTATGAACAGTAAGAAGGTCGTTATGACCTTCAGTTAAATTGAGACTGATAAACCATCCATGAGCTGGGGCCACAATTTGAAATGGTAACTAATGACACTTAGTAAATGTCTTAATAATTGTACTGGTCTAGTTTCTACATGAACACTAAGACAAGGGTGAGCATTCTCAGTGGCTGGTGGAATCTTTAACTCAACTTTCCATGAACTAGTACAACAAATACTATCAGTTATGTGAAAAATGCCCCAAGACAACTGACTGACGTTCCATTGATCAAGATACAAAGCAAAACAAGCTGTCCAATTCAGACATAGCTACCAACAACAAAAACTATTGTTTGGACCTAACAAAAGAGGTGCTATAGCAGTAATTTTCTTTTGTTTGCTTGATCACTGGAATTTTATTAATTTTTAATGCATGTCTTTCACTTAATTGGGTCATGTTTTTTCTAAAATTCAAATTTTTCTTCTTCCTATAGCCCTGCCATAGGACAGGCTGAGGCAGAGTCTCAGTGTTGCCCTGTTCAGTCTGAGGCAAGTGGGATTTATTTTATTCATTCTGGGGGCTTTCACAGCTTTATGGCTGTTGGATATTTATGTCCCCAAACTTGCAGCAAGTTTGGTGAAGGCCCCTAAATTTATTTTAATTTAGGTTTTTTATTCTCTTTTGGTAGATGGGCTCTATATTAATATTTATCTTTTTATTATCACTGTGTTTTTAAGAGTCTTAAGGGGGGAACCTGTTTTAAGATGTGTGGGTACCTTTTCTCTTAATGGAATGCATTTCCTTCAAGGCTGCTCAGGTAGTCCTTAAGACACTGCCCCTCCCCATTTTCCCTGCATTGCATTTGTGCTGTATTTGGTTCTGGGTTTGGTAGTGTTCATTTTGTGTAGTCTCTGAATTAGTGGCATGTAAATACCAATTATTCATGTTTTCTCTTCTGAGGGATGTGTATCTATTGAAAAGCTTAAAATAGATTTGAACTAGTAAGTTAATTGCTACAAAAAGTTGTAGCCCAAATTACAGAATACAGTTTCTTTGAAGAAGGTTAAGATGTTAATACTGCTGTGTTTGTGAGCTGCACCTCAACAAATATTAATGTAGAGCCCTGCGAAGAAATAGAGATCAGATCCTTGTTGGTAACACAGAATAGAAGAGTGAGAAATCAAAGCTGCAGATTTTTCAGCTTGCCAGTTTCAGGAAGAACCTTTTCCTCAGTCTCTTTTTCCTCAGTTCAGGGAGAACTTTTTCCTCCATCTCAAATACGTCAAATTTGAAAATGTTTTGACTCTTGCAACAGTAGTAAGAGTTGAAAAACTTTCTTTTAAACCTTGTGAGATTCTGTTGCATATTCAAAAGCTTTATTTGAAGCTTTATCCTTCTTTCACGCAGTGCCTAGCAAAAATTTCTACCCTTTGTGAAGAAAAAGGTGCTTATTCTGTTGCAGATCCATTGGTTGCGAATGCTTGAGGTTGCTTAAGGAAAGCTTCAGAACAGCAGGTTTTGTCTGAGGAGGTCTTGTAGCATACCAGCAGTGAAATAGTAAATAAAGAAATCTGGGAGTCTGGTTTGACTTCCTTTTTGAAGTTTTTGGGATATTTTTCAAGTTTGTGGTGAGGCTTTTTTATGAGCATAATTGTTTATTTCTTCAAGATTTTGTTTGATAATGACCCCTAATGGGATTTCAAGTAATTTTAATTCAAGGATAGAGTTGTAATTAACTTAGAGTGGATTGCACATTGCTGTTGTACTCTTCTTTGTTTGTACTCTGCCCTTTGCATTTTTCCTGTAGAAGGCCCCCCCAAAATCCTTGTCTGACTCGAAAATTGACATGTCCATGTTAACTGTTTCAGAATGGTTATTGAGCATGGTCTTGCTTTGCTAATTCTCGTTGTGGTGCTCCCCCTGATAACAGTGAAGATGAGAACAATTCTTCAAGATAAACTACTGCAACTAGTACTTCTTTTACTTGCTTAACTTATAGGACCATTTGGCTTAGTTATTTTTTCCCTAGAATGTCTAAGGAAACTGTTAAACTCAAAATAATACATTGTGGGGCTTGTACTTCTTGCTTAAAGTATCTGAATCTCTTAGAGTTTCAAAATAAAAAATAGGCAGTTTTGAAATGCCTCTTGATTTTGAGGGATGAAGTGTGTTCTTAGTTACATTCCAGTATTTCAGCTCTCATTGCAGCAGTTTATGTTTCACAAAGTTGGACATCTTGCTGTTAGTGAAATTTCTTTACTAAAGGTAACAATATTTCAGTGATGTGACTTATATAGATATTAACAAAATGAGGTCTTGGAGTTCAGTTTTTTTAAAGCATAAGTAGGGGCACATAACTTTCTTTAAGGAACAGGGGTTACTGATACTCTGTTAAATTGGGTAAATTTGCACCTGATCTATTAAACAAGAAAAATAACTTGGAGATAAAGTACATACCACACATGGAGAATTTTAAAAAAATCTCTATGCTTGCAATCAAAATAATCAGACGAGGGAAACAGTGGTAGTGCCTGGGTTGTGTTAGAATGCAGCTGCCTGTGACTGACTGTCATGGGTGGGCTAAGTTGGAAGTAGTTCAGAGGAAAGAAGAGTTTTGGGACAGCCATTTAAGGGATCAAGAGGAATCAAAGTGTTTGTAAAGTGTAATGTATATAAAAGTTCTTTCTGAAGTTCTGAAAAACACTTGGCGAGAGGTTTCTGGCACACTGTAAGCAGCAACTTACTGCAGTCTTGATTGCCAGAGCACAGATTGCCAGTAAGGCTCTGTTACAGGAAATGCAGTTTTACTGCACTCTTGTGAAGATGGGGCTGAGCACTGGAGCCTGCTGCTCTGGCAGCCAGCCATATCCTGTCCTGAGCCACAGGATCCAGGGGGTTATCCTCATGCCATTTGTTCCTGGCATCCTGCTGAGTCAGTTTTGACTGTCCCTGGTATGTATGAATGATTGTCAGGCTTGGTACTTAAATACCTGGACACTGTGTGAATAATGAGGCCCTTGTACCTTCTGAACAAGTTTACAAAACCACCTAAGTTCTTGTGGGCTTTCTTGCAGTAGGGACAGTCCACAGCACTGCTGTTTTAATGGCAGTGAATTTGACTTTTGCAGAAAAACTGTCTTGAACTTATTTATCTTAAGGTTTTTCTTTCTTGAGGATATAAAGAAGTAAAAAAGTTTTGAGGAAATAGTAGAATTTTAATGCAAATATCATCTTAACTGACATGACATTGAGAGCTTGAAAGCTTTGTTAAAAATTCTCTTGTTAGCAGTTAAAGCGTGTCTGACAGCTAACTGCCTTACACAAGGTTCAAGCTTCTGACATCTTAAACTTTTTTCACTTAAATTTTGTCTTAAGTCTCTACCATATTCAGAAAGGGAGCATGGGTTGTAGAATTTCAGCTTCTCCTGCTCTTAGTAGCCACTGTGTAGAACTGTTTTTTGCTAACAGTAATTTTAATTACCTGAAATGAATGCAGTACTACCAAAAGAAACTATTTCACCATCTTCCAACTTAGGAAGTTATGTAATGGTTTGAGACAAAGATGTCATGGAGAGCTTTTTTCTTTTCTCTTATTTTCATTGAGTTACTTGCACTGAATTCTCTAGGCTCTTTCTCATAAACTTAAGTGGGAAAAAATACATTTTGCTCTTTCACTTGTAAAGTCCAGAGTAAGAAACACGCTTTAGGACTTTATGAAGGAACCCGGCAATGTAAGTATTGTAATTTCCTTTATGTTTTTAGTAGGCAGCTGGTGACCTTGTTAAACGTATGGGTTATGTATGAAAAATCACAAGGGCAAATTGAAAGTAGTTTTACAGTTGCCTTTACTTCACATGCTTTTCTTAAACAACAAATTGCAGTAATTGAAGTTTGGCAGCTTTTTTTTTTTTTTTTTAATAAAAACTAAATTATGGGTAAAACACCTTGGTTTAATACAATTTGTGTTTCTGTTAACTAGCAGCAGAATTTCAGCATTTGCTACTTACTGGTAGAGAAGAAAAATTCCACAGAACTGCCAGTACAGGTTAGTTTAATCTGTAAGTACCTGATGTTCCTATTTGAAATAATTTGTTCAAATGATACCACTTAAATACCCGAGGGGAATTTTGGTCTCTGAAATGTGATTGTTACCTACTACTGATTCCAGTAGTGAGTGAACAGACTAGACTTTTTTGGAAGATCTATAATGGATTTAACTATGCTTGTGGACAGGTAAAAAATATCTGCAAGCACCTTTAAGGAAAATTTAATACAGAATTTTGACAAGCAGCCTTTGATGTTACTGAAGAATGTGAAAATCTGAAGTCAAAATCACTGTGGTAACATGCCAGTTATTACTGAGGCTGTTTTTTACCAGCAAACCAGCAGGATCCTGTGTTTGTTGTGTTGGGGATTAAGCATTTCTGTTTCTAAGAATCCATAGCAGCTTGTAATCTTTCCGTTTTCTTTAGCTATTGCTAATTACCCTTTCTTACCCACAGATTTTTACTTTGTTAGGCTGGTAAGCCAGGAGCTTGTTCTTCTGTGCTTTTTTAATTACTTTTGTTGGTTCATTTCAGCACTTCAGAGGCTACCTACAAACATGGTCTTGTCCAGCTGTTTTATCTTACATCAGAGTTACTGCTCTGCCTCTATTTTAATTCTGCCCTATTCCATATTCCCAGAAATTCTGGTATTTTATTTCTATTGTGTAGAATGTTTTATACCTTAAAATAGGAAAGATTCTCTGTGAATGAATAAAAGATGCAGCTTTCTCTGGAATGGCTGCATACATTTATTTCTATTTTAGACTTTGTATATCTCATCTCTGCATATCAGTAGAAGAGATGAAAACCTTTTCTGTGCTGTAGGCATGAAGCAGAGATCAACAGCAGGATGGGTTGTAAGATTGTGCTTTAATTCATTTGTGAGGCCATGATGTCCCACTCTGAATTTGAGGGGCTTTTGATATCACTGGTGGGTAATTACTTAGTCAGCAGTGGGAAGGTCATAGTTATGTGGTAGCTGAACAGACACTTGAGTTTTCCCAGCTCATCTGAAGGGTCTAGAATGGGTTTATGAGTGACTTGCCACTTCCAGCAGAATTGCTTGGTTTAGGGTTCCAAAATCTTGAGCAGTGCTGCAGAATTCATCATAAAAACATGCACAGTTTCAAGGCAATTGTATCTTCCCACATTTCAGAATAGTTACTCTTGCATCCCATTGCCTCTTATCTTCTCTACATCAGTTCTTGGTAATTTACACTAAATTGCTTTATCCTCAAAATGAGCTGCAGGCAAATTTTGGACTAATGTTGCATAGGTTTTTCTTCCTAGAAGGGGGAAAATTGTATATCTTAATTATATACAATATACCTTAATATTTACAAATTAGCTTTATCTCTCTTTGCTTAATCTTAATTGCAGGTATGCAAGAATAAAAGGGAAACCTTGTTGTGAGGTTAACCCTGGTAACAGAATGTGTCTGTATTTCTTACACCATCTGTGGCTGACCCTAGCTGATGCTAGCATTAATGCAATGCTCAGTACTAAGTTGGAGTGAGTAAATGCTTTTGGCTGCTCAATTACCTTATCAAGTCCTGGTTTTGGCAGTGGCTGGATGCAGACTTGCACTACTTTTACCCTGGCCTGGCAGTCAGTGGGGGATAACTAAAGGGCAGAGTGTGTTCCATAGTATCTTAACAAAGAAAAAGTGCATTTCTCCAGGAAAGATTGTAGTAGAACTCTTTGTGAAATTTTAAATGGCAGTTACTTATGGTACTTTTTGGTAGAATAAAGTTTATTTTCTTTTGAGATAGGACCAAAACAAGACTGGAAATTTGAACTTTGATTACCAGGTAAACAGTGTTAAATTGTAGCTCAACTTCTGACACACCATTAGAGCAGCTGTCCATTGTGAAGTGGTTCAGCAGTCATCCCTCCCAGTTCTGGTACTGTGTATTTGGAACAGTTTGTCATTTTCCACTTTTTCCTTAGACTCTTTGCTGACTCCCAGTTGCCCTTTTAGAGTTTCTGGTCACTGTGCAGCAAACTCAAAATAAGCAAACTCCAAGCTGGTTTTAGTACCTTGATAAAGGACCTGGAAGCACATGAGTGAACAGTGTCCCCTCTCGGTAGCAGTATGGCCACAGAAGTTAGTGTCTTGTGAAGGGCTTTTTTCTGTAACTTAACTGATACTGCTTTTGTGTTAAGTGGTATGAAAGGGCTGGGATTACTGATCTTTTTCAAAAGACAGGTGGTGGCAAAATACTGGTGTTGAATTTAATTCAAGAAAGTGAGAGACTGGTAAGTATGTGCATCACTTTAATGCATGCAAATAATAGTAACAATAACAAGCTTAATTTTATAGCATTCACTTTACAAAGAAGATTAAAAGAAAATGTGGAGCTGACATGATTTGCATCCACTGGGAACCCTCTCTTGAACTGTTCTTCAGGAATGGGTCATTGCACACACAGCCATCTGTAATGTGTGACATTTTGTAACAGTCTCTGATTAAACAGAAGTGAACCACTGTTTCTGTGTATTTTTCTTTTCTCCTCTTGAAAACCTATTTAAATTATTAAATTATTATTGCAACAGATGTCATGGTGAGAATAACTTGGTACCAGCTTTTTGATTCTCTGTAAGCTGCAGAGACTCATTTGTGTGAGTTCTGACTTAAAGTGGAGACAAACATGAATCCTAACTTCTTGACCTGTAACTTCCTTTTGCTGTTGATCTGCTGTCCTGCTGCTAAGCAGACTATAAAAGCTGTTGAAGTTAGAAGAGTCAGAATATGGAGGAAAAATTTCTAACAGTGTTTTCATAAAAGTTGGTGGCATGGGCATGCTGGGAGGTCTCTGTTCTAAACCCTTTTTGAGCAGAGAGATGAGGTAGCTTGGGAAATGGCACCTCCCGGGTATGGGGTGAGAATGGATTACTGTGCTAGGCTGGTTGGGCGTATTTAGCTACCACTGTTCACCCATGGGTTCGTTTCTGAGAGCTGGTAAAGGGAAGATAAAGAGATACCTTTATGCTGTGGCATGGACCAGTTGAAGGCATTTTGCATTGGCTATGTGTGACAAGGAGGAGGTGCAGTAGAGGACCCTTCAAGGGAACACTGCTGCTGTGCAGAAGTTCCTGATGGGCATTTGTCCTCTGGCCCTTTCAGCTGCAGGAAATCTGAGAGGCATTTGGGAGCTGCTTTGCACTAAGAGCCAGTTGTGTGTTGCCTGGCAGGTTAAAGCGCTCCCAGTGTGAACATGACTGGTAGGAAGTAGAAAGGGTGGGTCTGTGCTTGTTGGACTGTGAGCCTCAGCTGGTTGTTCTTGCAGTGTGGGACAACAAGAGGTAATCTGTAAGTTTACACTTTTTCTCTAAAACTTTTTTTTTTGTTGTTGGTCGGGGTTTTTTTCGGTTTTGTTTGGGTTTTTTTGGTTTTTTGGGGGTGGGGGTTTGTGGGGTTTTTTTGTTTGTTTGTTTTGGTTTTGGGGTTTTTTCAGTTGTTGTTGTTTTCTGTGGGCCTGGGGGAATGAAGAGTTTAAATCTAAACTTTCAATTTCTTAAAAGGTAAAAGTAGGCATATATGAGGAGCATGACTCCTGTTTATACCTCAAAGGCTCAAACTTGTGCAGTAGTGTGAGCTTCAGGGCAAAGCACTGCTGTCTGCAGAATCGAGTTGGGTGTGGGCAGGCAGTAAGCAAATTACAAGACAGACCCTCCTGGCCAAGCTGGCTGTAATTTTTCATCGTGGTAACAGTTCCTTTTCAAAAACAAAGTCCGTGTTTCTGCCACAGTATTTGAGCAGGTTGTGTATGTGGTGAGCAGTCAATGCTTTGCTTTTCAGTAAGTTTACATAGCAAGTTTCTGCTCTGGGTTGAAGCCATCCTAATGCCCCAGGCTAGACTTGGGGAAGCTGCCTTTGCCCAGTTACTTTCTCAAATGTACTCCTGTCCCCTGCATCAGGGCTGGGGAGCAGAGGGGGATTTCTCTGCCCCTCCAGCTCTCTTCCTTCTGGCAATTGTTTCTCCTTCCTGAGGCCAGAATGTCAAGGCCTGGATTAGACAATAATCTTCCATCTTCTTCCTTCTGAATTCACCATGGCTTGCAGTTCATTCTACAGTTTTTGGTTCTGCCCAGATCCTTGCTGCAGTTGGAAAAGCAAATCATACCTAGCTGCTGTTGGAAATACATCCTCAGGTAGGGTAATCAAAGTCACATAGAAATGGTAGTACTTCATAAAAGATATTTATTTGATTAAAACAAGTTATATGACGGGGTTTGGGCAATTTTAGTCACAATATCGTATATCAAACAATGTGAAACTCAACACATTTTTGTTATTAGAAGCTGAATGTGGCATCATGGTTGCAAACATAGCACTGAAAACCTCCTCTGCATTTTTCAAATCATGGATGTATGCTCTAGACAAATTTCAGTTCTGTATTCTGTGGCATTGCTTGGCTGATAATGCAAAATAATTCCACCAAGTGCAGGAATTGTTTGGACTATGAACACATAACAGTGCTTACAACTGATCTTCTACGCAACCCATGACTGCTCACATATCTCTCCACCCCAGCCCAGATATAGATATGTCTAGTAAGGTAATATTTACACAGAGAAGCAGAGAAGGAGTAGGATTCTGCAGAATTTGGGGCCTGTTTTTTATCAGTCTGATTGTGAAGTCAGCCTGAAAATTGCTTCCATACTGACACTGGCTTTGCAGTTGGTAGTTATTTCATACATGGTACATATCGTACTTGCTATTTGGTCCGAGTTCATTTTTCTGTTGCTGATTCAGGAAGAAAAATTTAGTTACACTGTGTCAGGGGATGGAGTGTAAGAAAATAGTGCAGAAGGTAATCTCACCCATGAGGAGTTGCACCTGTACTAACCACCAAAGACTAGGAACAGGCCTGCCCTTAATAGGCCACAGCTGTGTCCAATAAGAAGAGTGCTACAAGAGAGTGGGTTAGCTGGTTCAAGAGTGGGTTGGAGTTTGTTGGCTGTACTGTGTAGAAGAGGGAGTCAGTGCTGTGAGGAGCTGCCCATGAGAAATCACCAAGAAGGTATAAAACTTTTGCAATAAGATGACGATTGGTGACCCCGATGTGATTCTGACATGATCCTGTGGTGGTTTGGGAAAAAGGACTTTAATATTAAAGTGCTGTGATCCCACGATGATTCAGGAGGATGACCACAGACCTAGGAGCAGTAAGATAGTGGAGCCAGGTGGACCAGGAGCCTAGGAGCTGACCAGGCAGACCAAGAGCCCGAGATCCTAAAAATCCAGATGAGTTACAGCCAGGCAGACCTGGGAGCCTAGAAGTCTGGACAATGTATGAGACACCACCCCCAAGGAGAAGAGTGCTGGATATGAGGAGGGGATGCTACACACTTTGCTTATTTGGTGCATTGGAGCAAGCCCTGTGCTCCCTGCCAAGGTACGGCCGCAGTCCAGAGGGGACCCAGGATGGTGCCTGGTTCCCCCTGATTGGCAGTGTGTGCAGCAGGACACAGGAGTGGCATCATAGAAGTGGCAAATGGCATGGCCACAGCAGTAGCCGGTGCCTCAGCACTAGCACGGCCCCTGAGGAGTAGAGGGGGAGGTTTGCTAAGTTGCTGCTACATGAGCACTGGAACAAAAGCAACGTGGAGCTCTGAGAGGCAGAGTCAGAGCTGCCCAGACAACATGTAAGAGAAGCCTTCTAAACTGTATAGTGGCCACCTCCACAGTAACCCGATGTGATTGGGGCTGGGCTGTAGGGCGTGGTGCAGCCGGAGATGGAGCCCAGCATAGCTCTGAGAGCAGCAGGGGATGCTGCCTGGTCCAGACCTGACAGATTTTGACACCTGGAGTACAGGTGAGCCGCTGGGGACACAATGAGAAATAGCATATCTAGTGAAGAACAGATTGTTTCATCTACATGGAAAACAGAGCAGGGTGGAGAGGCTTCCAGTGACCAACTAATACATCAAAAAACTGTAAAAGGAAGAAGAGAATTTTTAAAACAGCAGTGGGAGTTGGGGACAGAGTAGCTTTATCATTCAGTATGGTATATTTGTTTGCTGATGAAACGTGCATTTTGTTTTTTAATTGCAGCCATTTATCTTTGATTAGACATAAGTGTGAAAGTTTATATTCCATAAGCATAAGTACATTCGACAGATACTGGATCAATGTTGTTCAAGTCATATAGCTATTGATAAAATTATGTAACTGTTGATTTGTTACTAGCCCAATATATAGCCTTTAACTTATTCTTGTGAGTTGCCTTATAAAATTGTACAGCTATTGATATTGTCAATATTCTAGAAGTGTATGTATAAGAGTTTCTGATTATATTCAATGTAAGTTTGAGTACTGAATCAAGGTCAGTGCACAGGCACAATCTGAAGTTAAATAGAGATTACACAAAAGATGTTTGTACTGGGTTTAGTGTCTTTTGCAAAGGGCCCTACAAAAGATAGTAAGCACAACATTAGTTTATGAAAAGCCTTAGGTTGATGTTCTAGACTGTGAAAAGCAAAACTAAATAGTGAACTAAGAAATGTGTGTTCTTGCTGTGATGTGTTGCCTGAGCATTTGTATACTGTTAGTCCTAAGTGAGACATGAATATGTTTTAATATTAATTTACTCAAACATATCTTTCTAGAGATGCTGCAACTTTGTAATTAAAAGAAAAGGGGGAATTGTGGAGGGATAGAATGTAAGAAAATAGTGCAGAAAGTAACCTCACCCCTGAGGAGTTGCAGCTGTACTAATCACCAAAGATTAGGAACAGGCCTGCCCTTAATAGGCCACAGCTGTGTCCAATAAGAAGACGTGCTACAAGAGAGTGGGTGAGCTGGTTGAGGAGAGACCTGGAGTTTGTTGGCTGTACTGTGAAGAAGGAGTCAGTGCTGCAAGGAGCTGCCCATGAGAAATCACTAAGAAGGTATGGAACTTTTGCAATAAGATGACAAGAACACTGGACAAATTCTTTTACTGATCAAGACTATGCAGAAATTAACTTAAAATCCTAGTCTGTGGGGTAAGAAGAACCAGATCAGTTGTTGTCTTTGGTTTGAAATCTTGCTTTCTGTAACTCAAAAACACTCAAAGGCTTGGCTCAAAGTTCACTCTACTCATAGTTTAAATTTTTTTGAGTTATTTGGTCGCTATTATAGTTGTTAATTCTGATGTTGCCTGGTAGTTACCCAGGAACAGTCCGCTTTTAGTTTTAAATGTGAGACTGGACCCTTCCAGTGTTGTACCCTCTAAGAGCACAGTGCATACAGTACTGTACTACATACCTTAGGTTCTTTTGATGGCTGGGTCATTTTCAACCGCAACATCGAAAGCAACAAGACCATAAAATGAAAAGCCTAAATAAAAGGTCACATTTTCATTTCCAGCAGGCACTGATTCATGATGGAGTGGCAAGACACGGAGTTCCTTCTTGTGTCCTCGTATAAATAAATTTCTGTCCTTGGACCAGCCAGAAACTCTTTTGAGATTGTCACGAATTTTGGGAATATTCCATACTGTTCCATGCTGCCACTTTGTTCTCCTCTCATCTAAGGATCCCACCATCAATTTGTCAATTTTAGTTTTGTGCACTATCTTACTTAAGCCATAACCCTTTCCCAGAAAAAAATGGGTGTAGATTCTTTTCTTTCTGGTAGGAACATCTTTCCTTTTGATGTCATATAAACGCTTCAGGGTTTGAAGGGCTGAAGTTAAAATTTCATCGTTAATGGGATTAGGCTCTTTGTCTAATGCCTCATCTGGCCAGTACAGCAAGGTGAGCAAAAAATAGGCACTTGCTGGAAATTGTCTCTTTCCTTTGAAGAATCTTAGACTGAGCTCACGAAGAGGTGGCAGTGGAAGGAGTTTGGCTGATCCTGGTGCTAAGCAGGCTAATGTGATGTGGCACAAAATAAAATTGATCAAATCATTGTCCTCCAACCTGTTCCTCAGCGGGTTTTCTGGATAGAAACTAAGGATCTTTTCTAGCTTTTCAGCTGACCTGTTCTCTTTCTTATCTGTTAAGAAAGACAGGATATTGGTGACATTTCCTCCACCACTCCCATAAATACTCATCTGTCTCATGAGCTGAGTGTCAGGACCATTGCTGTCATCTATTAATGATGCTGAGATGAAGAATTTAGCGTATACAGCTGCTTGCTTCCTCAGCCATTTTCTGGGATTATGAATTTGTTCTTCCTTATCATCGTTTTCATCATCCTTCTCTTGATTTTTATCTGTTTGGAAGTAACTTAGTTCTTCTGAAATCCATTCCAGAGCATTGTACAGGTTCTGGCGCAAGCCTTTCAAGCGGGAATGAAGCCTTCCCCATGGTCTTTTTATGTCTTCAGGAATGTAATCTGTGGTGAGATATTTCACAAGCTCAGTATGCTCTCCCTCTAGATTTCTGTGGAATACAGGCAGTGTGGACAAAAATCGAAGAAGGCGAAAACCTACTTCTACTTCTCCAAAATAGCCAGCGTTGTTCATACTTTCACGTTCTTCCTTTGCTGCCTGTTGTGCAGCCCTGAAGCATTTCATAGCTTCAAGAGCAAGCAATATCTTCTCAGTGATCCTTTCAGGAGTATCTTCCTCTGTCATTTTATCCACAGTGAAACCAAACCATCTCCTGTAGACTTGACCTTCTGTATCCAAAATAAAAGAATCAGTTGGCAAATGTGATTTTGCAACCTTTGCCCAGTATTCAGCATCTTCAAATTTTTCATTGCTGTAATTTAGTCTGGCAAGCTGCTGGGCAAAAAAAGGATCTTTTCCAAGGAGTTCATATGCAGCTTTTAAAACAGCAATGGCTTTTTCACAGTCTTCAGCTTCACAGACTTGTTCAATGAATGGGGAGAAGAGGGTATCAGTATTGTCACCCCTGCTTCTTTTATCACGTCGAATAAACAGATGTCTGATAAACTTTATAAATTCTTTTTGTCCAAATCTGTTTTCAAAGAGCATCCTTTCCTGAAGAAGATTTGTTGCAAGTTGACTTAGTGATTGATTCCCTGAAAGCTGATGCAGAATTTCTTTTGCAACCAGGCAGTGGATTATCCGAATAGTTGAAATACAAGTGGTGCTTTCCTTTAGCTCAATAAAAATCATTCTTGCTTGTTCACTCAAGTGATATTTGAAATCGTATGCTCTTGCTTTACTCTCTGTATATGCCCCCAGGCCCAGAAAAGCCTCACAGTGTGACAGTGAAAGGTATGAGTTTGGTACATAGCAGTTGAGCAGAGCAATGTAACGCATCAAACAGGTGTCACGAGAGGAAGGGTCGATGCCTTGCAGGATGTGCTCAACCATGTCTGACACATATGTTTTATTGAACTCCTTACACATCAGCACAAACGTAAGTATAAATTCTGGCTCAGGATATTCCTCCTGCAGTTTCCCTAGTTTGGTGTTAAACAGATTTTTCTCTGACTCTGTCAGTTTGTGAGTGACAGCAACTGTGTCCTGTAGCGAAGCCTTGCAAAGCCTTTCAGGGTCATTGTATCGTCTACAGCATATGAGGATGAAGTAAGGCCTGGAGGAATTCATTTTCCTGGCTGCTACAGCCTCCATTAACTCACTCTGTAGTTCATCAAAGTACTCGTCATCGTAATCTTCGATCAGGAGCAGCACCGGAAAACAGTGAGTGATTTCCTTTTCTTCAAAATCTCTAAGGGCGAGCACATGATTACAAACAGTTGAGGGTGGATAGGAGGTCTTGATAACAGCACATCTAAAACGCTTTCTGCTTTTCCACAGAACCTGCCGTGCTATTGTGCTTCCACCACTTCCAGGATGGTGAAATATCTTTAGTTTAGCCACAGGATAATTGTGTCCACCTCCTCGTAAAATACCATCCAGCAGTTTGGTTGCCTCTGCACAGGCTTCACGTTCAATGATGTCCCCACAGAGTTTATTATCAGCAAGCCACAAGTTTTCCCACATGATTTTTCTCCCACGGTAAAAATCTTGTTCTATTTCTTGTTTTTGTTTTTCAGTCCAAAGATTTAATTTGATATCATCACATTGGTCAGCACAAAGGATTTCTAGGGAACACAATTTCTCTTCTTCCCGCAAGGGAAGTGTACACACACCTCCAGTGGAAGCTGGCAGGTGTCTGGGTTGGGCTGTAGAAGGCAGCATTGATTGGATGGTGGCATCTACGTGACTGAGCTTCATACCCACAATACTGCATTGTTCCAGGGTCTCAATGCTGCAGGATTCCTGAGCTAGAGTAGCCCACTTCCTGTAATTGTCTCTGGACTCTGCAATGCAGATGATGTACTCCATGCCATTCATCTCTGTATAGAATTCCTGAAAAGTGTCCACAAGTGGTTTCTGCACTGGTGACAGCAATAGAAAAAGCACAATGAAAGAGCGCTCTGGCAGAATTTCCTCACAGATACAATTAATTACTTTCTTTAGGTGTTTTTTTTTTGTTCTAATCCATGTATTTTCATCACAAGCTTTCTCATCTCCGAGGAAGTCGCTGCGCCCATTGCAGAATATCCAGCTGGTCTGATCAAATAGCTTCTGAGAGGGAGAATTATCAGTCTTCATTTCTTTGAAAAAATCCTCTAAGAAATAAGAACTTGTTTCGTGGTGCTCTTTGTATTTGCTGTACAGCCCTGACACATTAGAATGTTCATCAAAGTCAAAGACACAGAAAATGTTCAAGTGCATTAAAAAGTTGATGTAGTTCAAATTATCCTGTTCACATCTGTTTGTGACAAGGATGTACCGTAGAGAATCATCCATGTAGCTTTTGCCATCATTTAATAGAATTGATAACTTTCTTCCTAAATCTTGAGGTATTTCTGTAGGTACTTGTGTGCTGGAGAGCTCAGCTCTTTGTCTTTGAGCATCCCTGTCTGGTATAGCTTGAATGAAAGCAGTGAGTTTGCTGCGCTGCACAGGCTCGGACTTCGCTCCCAGTCGCTGGTAGAGAGCTGGTTCTTTGGTCAGGATCACCTTCTGACTGCTTTCATTGTATTTTGGCAAATAAACTTCAAAACAATTGCTCTTTACCAAGCTGAATGTTGGTTCAATGTCAACCTCCACTACAAATCTTTGTTCTTGAGAGTCTTTTGAAATCACTTCAACAAACACAGGTGGGTGAATACATTTCCTTGCGATTTCTTGTAAATTATTGCAAAAGCACTTTTCTATATAATCCAGTGCATCAACAAAGTCTTCTCGGTTTTTGACCTTTATGCCAATGACCTGTCCGTGTTTCCAGCCCTTGTCCTCAACACTGTCCATGACACCAAAATGGATGGTGCCATTTGTTCGAGTGTTCATGCAGGCTGAAGCAAATCTTATCACTTCAGAGGCAAATTTTGATTGTAGCTGATGTTTGTTCAGCTCTGAAGCAGTATCACAGGATTTGTATTCGTGGCAAGGAATGATTAAATCACAGACTCCTGATTCTGGAGCAAGAACTGTGTCCTTCACATACTTGAAATCAGTATCCTGACTTCTAAATGGCCGACAGTTTCTCACCTCTAAAACTTCATCAGCACTTGGAAGCTGGGATTTTTTGCTTCTTTTTGGCTTCTTGCCAGAAGTAGGAGCTGTGCTCTCACTGCTGGTGGTACCCACAGCACCAGAGCTGCCTCCACTCGCCGTGCCCTGAGCAGGGGCGTTGCTGGCTCTGCCTGGGCCTGTTTGTGCCTCCTTTCTGTCGGGTGTTTTGCTGCTGGAGTCCTCAGCTTGCTGTGCATTGTCCTGGAGCTGCAGAAGTTCATTTCTGTTGTGGATTAAGATCTGGATTTGGCCTTGCTTCATTCCTATCTTTTTGAGGAAAGACTCATCCAGTTTCATTAATGCTGGACCTGTCACTTCTTCTGCATGTAGTTTATCTACATACTCCTTCTTGATTCCAGTAGATTCCAGCCAGCATTTGACGTGGTTCTCAACCCATTCTCTCACAGGTAACGTTTTGTAATCTAGACATTAAAATCATGTATTACTAATACAAACTAATGTTTGTTTGGCCACACTGAATGTTAGATCTTTTTCTTTCTACCAGTCACAGCAAGAGAGCAGGTCTTAAAAATGTCACTTCTGATGATAAAGTATCCATAAACTTAATCAGAAGCAGTTCTAAATGGTGCAAGACTAATAAATCAGCAAAGTAGGAAACTAGGAAGAAGACTTGGAAATGATCCTCAAAGGGTGTCAAGGAAATAACCCAAAATGTTTTTTGTGGGGAATAACAAGGTTTATGGGAATTGACAGGGCGGGATTCCCTAAACTGGATAGGTTTGGGTAGATCATTTACCACTTGAGTCTGATTATTTTGTCCTAAATAAAGATAGATAGCATCAATACAAACCCTAAGATGATAGGAGTACTAACTAGTTCCCCACTAGAGAGAAATCCTTCAAATGCAGATATGAGAAAGCAAATTGCTACATACAAAGTAGAAATTTTCTGAAAGCAATACATACCCATTGTCTTTGGTGAAGGAAATCCTGCTGTTAATGAACAAAACCCTAGAAGGGGGAAAAGTAAGTCTTCAGATTTACAGTTCACATTCCTGTGATAGTTCAAGCTGACATTGGTGTTCTATTTTCCCAACTTCCTCCCCACCTTTTTGTCCATGGTCATTTCTGTACCTCTAAAGGCCTGTTCTTGCCAGCTGTGCTGCTGCTGTGTGCCTGTGTGAAGGCAGCTGCTCCTGCCTCTGACACACACGTGGATGTGAAAGAAGTAAGGGGTTGCTGTAGAGGTTTGTGCTGACAGCTGAGCGCAGCAGTTCCTTCTGTTACAAACTGGAGAAAAGGAGGCCCCTCACCACTGTATCCCCCAGGTTCTTATACTTTTTATTGCTTTTTCTCACTTTCCCTGCCTTTAGTTCCTTCACACTTGCTTTTTCCCCTTCTCTTTTTTCATGGGTACACTCTCCCCTGCTTCTTCTCTTTTCCCATATCTGTTTTGCTGCTTACCAAAATTTCCAAGAAGCAGTTTGACTCACTGTCCAACCCAGCAGAAGGTTTTCTGTTCAGTGGGGTGTCCTCCCCTGTGTCATGACATCCTTCCTGTGCCCAGCCTCCGTTCCAGGGGTTCAGAGACGGGTGGCAGCACGGACAGCCTGTTCTGTACTGCAGGAGGAATGGGTTTGTTATGAATGGAGTTCTATATGTCTCATGTAATAAACAACAAAATTGAATTTAGCAGCAATTTTAACTGACCAGCAATTTTATGTAAATGAATACAATCAAGTATATTAAATATAATCAAGCATATACAGAAATTTCACAGTGATTAATTAAGTATGATTAAGGTTCGTATAAAGCATAAGCAAAACCAGCTGAGGTACAGGGAGGCTTTCTCACCCTGCCTCACATATGAAACAAAGGAATCCAAACCCAACTTATCTACTGCATGCTAATACATATTCATCAGTATTTTCCTGTAAATCTCCTCCTATTTTCAAATATTGAAATCTATGTCACTATACTGCCCAGCACATGCTCCATTTGTTGTTAGGGGGTCTCCTGGCTCTGGTGGTGTTTTCGGAGGAAGGCTCGCTGTCTCCCTCGCTGTCCCCTGAATAACCTTACAGGTTGCACATGCACAATAAGCCTTGTGTTATGTAAGTAAATATTATGTTCCAAATACTCCTTATTATTTCATAGATAAAACCACTACTTTAGATTCCATATCTGAAATCGCCCCAACTTTGCTCATCCCACGGCCAATTCTGCTTTGGGAATCGTCCCAGCTTTGTTTGTCCCAAGGCCAATATGTTTTGGGATCTTGCTTATCTCAGGACTACAGCCTATATCCTGTTTTTTACATATAACATGTGCAAAGGGACCCATCCGCTTTGTAACACTAATCACATATACTTTTCCTTTTTATTTTATAACAATTATTTTCTAAAATATTGATATAGTTACAATATTGCTAGCAAGAATCATACCCATTAATCACAGGTTAAATACACCTGCTCAGTGTGACATTCACAGTCAGCAGTAACCATCCACAGCCCGGTCACTGGGATCACAGTAAAAGGTGCACTGTGGTGGTGTTGCTGATTCTTCTCTTACTGTAGTGGGGAGACTCAATCCTCCGGTTTAGCCAGCTCCACCCTGCAGCTCGTGGTGCTAAAACAGTGCTCTCAGCAAGTGTCAAAGGAGCAGCCACCAGTGCAGCTGGTCGAGGTCTCCACAATTTCTGTAGGTGTAATGGTGGTGACTGGGGAAAGGAGAAAACCTTGGCAGGAAGTGGGTTCAGCAGCAGGGGGTGGTTTGGGGAGATACCGCTCCGGGAGAACAGGGTATGCTGGAGAAAGCCAACAAGTGCACATTAACCCTTTCTGCATCCGGGCAGCCCTGTGGAAGCCTCGGCTGAGGCACAAACATGGCTGGAGCTCTGGTGTGAGCAGGAGGCTCTGAGAGGGGAACCTGTTACGGGACTGCCCTGATGTGCTGTAGGTGTAAGGCATCCCTCAGAGTAAGTGTAAACAGGCTGGTTATGAAAATGGTGAGAGACGGATTTCCACTGACGCTTGGTGCAGCCTTCCCCGAGAAAGGCGGCTAAAAATGTCCCTGAAATATTGATCTTTCAGTGCCTTTGGCCACGGCCCAGGGCTGGGCTTGTGCTGTGGAATCCCGTCCCGCCCTTGTCTCTGCCCCAGCCCGCGGTGACGTCAGGAAAGCGCTTCAGAACGAAGAGCCTTGCCTGGGAATCGAAACTGGAACGGAGGCTGAGCAGAGCTGGGCAAGGCTGGGGCAGCACGGCTGGAGGGGGCCTGCGGGTCCCTGATCCCTCCTGGATCTAGGAGCAGTCGGGGTTTGTGCTCCAGGGGGCACGGAGGGGGTGCAGCTGCGGGGCTGCGGGCAGAGCTGTCTGCGCCCCGCTCCCGCCTCTCCGAGCTCTCGCACAGTCCCGTGGGTGCTGCCGAGCAGCTCCCAGCCCTGTGGGGCGGCCGGGGGCACAGAGCTGGGCGGGCAGTGGAGGCACAGGCTCACTTTTCGTTAAACCAGGTCCTAGTAAAGCAACCCGCCCTGCTGAGAATGAGCCCGCGGGGCGCAGCGCACGGAGAGCTTACCTTGCAGAGCCCAGTGTCCCCAGTGCGGTCTGCCCGCAGTGAAAAGTTTCCAGAGGAAGAAGGGAGGGAAGGAGCTCCAAGACCTGTGGCGCCAGGCTCGGCACGGGCACACACACTGAGCGCTGTGGGTGTTCTGCAGCTCCTGCGCGTCTCTTGAAAATTCTTCAGGAAATAAAAACGGGGAAACTGCTTTAGACAAATATTGCTGGTTCGAGCTATCAAGTATCCACCCACTTCACAGCAGTGCTGCTGCTGATTGGTGCTGCTGCTACAAGTCCAATAGCCTTAGCCCCACCAAAAACAGGTGTCAAGATGGGTGTGGAATTTATTATTTCTTTGTTTTGTATTTTAAACTTTCAGATCCGTCTCACTGCCCTCTATATGAGCTACCTACTTACTCCAGGCCCCCTCACCAAGCAGTGGAGAGGTTGGGAGAGGCTCCTCGGCCCAGCCCTCTGTGCCACTGGGGCCCAGGAAGGCTGGGCTGCAGCAGAACTGTCTTAGTGGCTTTTGGTTTCCTGTAAATCACGTCATCAGTCACCAGCTCAGTTTCACCAAAACTAATTTATTTAGGGGTATTTCTTTAGCACACAGCAGCACAAAGTGATGTCATTTTATCTCAGCTGTGCGTGCACCTGCCTCAGCCACCAGGCTGGAGGGGGCTGGTGCCTGGGGACTGTCAGAGTAACCAAGGAGGCTCTTGGGCCTTCAGGGAGGCTCCCCCCGACCTGAACAACTCCTGCAGCCGCTGTTGGGTCAGAGGGCAGGAGATGGTCTGAGCAGGCTCAAAACCAGGCACGTGTGCCCGCCCGAGGGCGGCAGGACCAGGCTGCCTCAGGCCTTGGCCCCTTCCCTGCTCAGCTCTGCCAGCACCAGCCCTGCTGCGTTCCCTGGCCACACAATGGCACTCAAAGCTGTGGGGTTTTAATCTGAGTCTTTATTTAGTAGATTTATAAAAGACCTTTACATGAGAAATATAAAAATATGAAATAGGCTTTGAATCTTTTTAGGTAAAATTACCATTATTTTTTCAAGCTTTAGAACATGTAACCTGCACAGTTTGGCATCTTAGGTCAATTGCTCTCACACATTGTAGAAGTAGGAAAAAAACATCGTGTAAAGTATCTCCAGAAAAATAGCTGTATGTACCCCATCATACATGGGGTATCACTAGCAATAATTTATTTAAGACACAATGGCACAGTCATACAAATTCTCACTTTCTAATTTCTCCTTTAATTAATTCCATTGAAAGATGCAGTATCACTTTCCACTTCCAGTTGTTATCTGATGATTAAATATAAACACAAAACTGATTAAGACTGATTTGGCATGCTTCATACTTGTACCATGTGGATTTGATACCACTTTGTAGTAAAAATTAAATAAATATAAATACATTAAATAAATATATTGTAAAAGAACACCCCAGTTACATTAGAATTCAGCATTTCTTCATCCTAGCACACATGACACTTTGTCACAGCTTCAGGGCCAGTGTAAAGAAATACTGCACCTTTAACCACACAGGCTCCCATGGATGGAATTACCAGCCCCCACACACAGGAAATGGGGTTCTACAGCTCTGTGGCACCCCTTAAACACTGCCCTGATCTCACTGCTCTGAGCAGATCTTGGCTCCTGTGGCTCTGTGCCTGGGGCCTTTTCTTAGTCCTTGAGGGACATTTGCAGTTGATGAGTCTCAGGCAGCTCCCAGCTGCCATTGCTGTTTGCTGCAGGTACTTGAGCAGATCTGTTCTCATATACTGGGAGATAAGTCAAGGATTGTTCAACCTGTTCTGCAAATACTGCACCTGTTCTGCTTCATATTAAACAACAAGACTTATTTTCAGAGTAGGAAAACCTTGAATTGATGTTTCAAGTCCGCATTTTTTAGAACTGTTTCTGCTCAAGTATAAGGGACTAACTTTCCAGAGTAGTACTGGTAAAACAGAAATGGTACTTTCATACCATTTTTAGGATAATCATCAATGATTCCCTTTACAATCACTGGGGTGTGCCTAATGTGGCAGCAGTGCAATGGCAGGTTCAGATAATTTGCTGCAACCAAAGGGCTCCTTTTGCACATCCCAGTCCTGAGTAATTATATGATTTCAATCACTGAATTTGATTTTTTTTGTTGTTGTTGTAAAACACATCTGTTACAAAATCACATACAGTACAGGGATATTGGGTGATGGTTAAATCCAGCTTTTGCTCTTCATGTCCACAGTCCTGAAAACTGCCTTGGAGTCAGTAACTCCATGCCAGGGTTCATCGCTTCACCACTCGTGCCCTGAGCTCCACCATCTCCTGATCCAGCACAGCCACAGGTACAAGGCACTTTTTGGAAGCTTGGTTTCTTCAGAGAGAGAGAATTCAGCTCTTTGATCCCACTTTTCCCTGCTAAGGGTAGGCCTGTGCTTGGAATGTTGGTCCCAGAGAAGAAAGCTCCATCCCTCTCCTCTCAAACCGTGTCTCCTGTAAGGCTCAGCTCTGCAGAGTCCTCAGCATAGTAATGTTGGAAGAGTCTTTCTTGGCAGCAGATGTGCATAGCGTGGTAGGTGTGCAGGAGCAGGCGAGGGAAACGAGCTGTGAAGTAACCCACAAAATCATCTGGGATGGAGCCCAGGGTCTCCTGCACTTCGGGAGGCAGTTCCCTGTAATGGTGCTTCTGTGGAGCAAAACAGAAGAGGGAAAAGCTCAGTCAGAAGGTTCTTTCAGAAGCCTCTTGTAAACAGAGCTGCTGGCGTTCCTGGACACAGTAACCTCCTACTGGACTCTTGTAAAGGAGCTCAGTACCTAAATCAGGGCCTGATACAGGCTGGCAACAACAGCAGCCAGAGGCAGGAAGCCAGAGTGCACGAGGAAAAGACTCCTTTACCTTATTTCTCATTGCCCTCAGAAGGTCCCGGACGGAGCCACCTTTATAGGATCTGAATTTTCGAAGATCTGCAAGAGAAACAAATTGTTTTGTGTGTTGTGATGCAGTTTTAGGTGCTGGGGTGTATGTCTGCAGCCACAGATCCTTGTAGGTGTGTTTCAGTACATAAACATGTACTTCCACCTAAAGAAACACTTTCCTCAGGCAAGTAACAGTGATGTACCAAAACTGAGACAGTGTTAGCCTTACTTTCCTGTCCCAGCAAACTGGGAACAGCAGGTAATTCCCACTCTGTCAAAGTGCTATCCCTTACCTGTCTGAAGAGGAACAGTGATGTGCTCTCTCCAGTCCATTTTCACCACTTCTCTTCCACCTCTTTCTAACTGCTTGACTATTGGACTGTCTAAAGATTCTTTCTCTATCCGGTCACTAACATCCTGGAAGAGACATTCAGATTATTTCTAGTTTTATTTCCAAGTTTTTCCCAGTATTTTCAAATTGCTGCTTCTGGCCCATTACAGCCTGTCCTGGTAGTGAAGTTAAAATTCCATTCCATGACAGCACTTGGGAATAGGATACAGAAGTTTCTGAGATTATTTGTTTCACCCTCTTCCAAAGCTCTTTTAGCACAGAGGAGAAGATAAGGCTGGAAAGGATCTCAAGCCCTCAGCCATTTCCCACCCCACATCGGGATTCAGTGCTTGTTCACTCCTGTCCTTGAAAACCCTCTTGGCCATGTTCTCTGTGGGTACTGCAGCTGTGGGTGCTGCTTCTCCCACCAAGTGACCTTGGTACCATCAGCTCTGGCCCCCTCTGACAGATCTGCTCTAAGACCAAGCCAATTGCTAAGGAGCCCCACCCTGTTTTACAACTGGGCTGCCTCGCTCCTCTCAGTAAGGCTGTGGATTCTGTGACCTCAGGCACAAAAGAGAGACTGAATTCAAGACCAGAAAAAGCCCTGAGAACTGAGAGGAGAGAAAAGGCCATCACAAACCTGAAAGAACTGGAGCTGTTTTTCTAGACTCCAAAAGAAGGGGTGTTTGAGCACACAGCTGGCAGATGGCCGTTTCTGAGGGTCCATGTTTATCATCTGCTCTATTAAATCGCGAGCGACAATGTCTTCTGCAAGGAAATTTACTTCTTTAGTTTTATTTTCTCTACGTTCTTAGGCTGTAGTAAAATGTAAAACTTTGTAATTTTATAATATTTTGTACTTCAGAAATTCATTATGGTCTCTACTTCCTCCTGTCCTGCTAGTCCAAGTGCTGCCCTCACAGATGTGCTGGGCAATCAACAGAAAGACTATTGAAGACTA